CGGCCGACGCCTCACGACCCGCCGCAGTGGCCAAGCGGTCCCCAAATCTCAATTGGCGTGCTGATAATGAGATCAGGGTGGATAGTGGCGCCGAGGAAGCAGCGCCGCTTGATGGGAGAGATGGAGAGTTGCAATTGCAAGCGGAACTACTCCTGCCACTAGAGCAAGTCATTCCGGGGGCTACATGGTACATTTGTTGATAACCGGTTTCGTTATGTGGGCAGTAGCTGTTGGCACACAACGGCTGTCGGCGGCAGTGGGCTTGCCGACTGCCACTGCTGAATTGAGCTGTAGTGTAGCAGCGAATGGCAGTGACGACCGGGCAGCGTCCTACATACACATACACACCCATAGTACCAGAATGCACACTACGCAGTCACTGCAGTGTAGTAAAAGCACCCTCAGACATTGCCATGTGCTCTATTGATTTCGCCCCCCCGTAAATAGTACACCAAGATGCTGTGGCACCCCCACCCCATTGACAACTGACGGGACGCTTGCGACGTTCGATGCAGCTAAGGGCACAGACAGGACAGACCGCCTTATTCTGCAGAAGACATCCTCAGCCCCAGCAATCACAAGTCACTCACACAGAACAGAAAGGGGGAAAGGGGGTTCATTCGTGGCTGGAGAGACCAACCGGTGGATGAAACCTCGAGGCTTCTTCCCAGCGGACCTCGACAACAACCGGACGAACAACAAGCAACAAGCCTCATCTCTCTCCTCTCGACTGGGGAGGCTGGAGATCGGAAGAGAGCGACTCGCGACGATTGGAAATGAACAGCGTTCGTCTGGTCCAGCGAGCCAGTGTCAGTGGAGGATGATTCTCCACAATGGTGGAGAGACAACGCCCCCCGGTCCAGGTGTCCCAAAGCAGTAATTGAGCAGATGGGTAGTGAATTTGGGGGATGAGGCGGAGAAGAATGGCAAGACGAAACTGAGAGCTTCAGAGACTGAAGAGTTGCAATCGCTTCGACATGACGCCTGCCTCAAAATAAAAGCGTTGCAAGGAAGATTACGCTTTGCAGCGGCCTGGGCATTACCCTTTGACAGGGTGTTTGTCAACTTGTCAGACGCAAGACCAGGCCTTGTCTTTAGTATCCGCAAACTGTAAACCGGGCTAGGCGCGCCTGCCCATGCGGCAGGGCGACTGAGGTGTAGTCCAGCGGTCGGGAGAGTGAGAGAGTCTGTATCCCGTACCTCATTTGGCGTTCTCTGACTCTTGTTTCTGGATCCCCAACACACTACGTGCAGCAATTCTGACCTGTCTGTCATTACCAGGAGGGGCACTCAGACCAGGTGTTCCGACGTCGCACAAGGCGATTGGATCCCGCCTATCGCGGTGCAGATGCATAAGGTATCCTGCAGGATGGGTGCGAGCACACGCATCTACGCATCGGAGAGGGGGGGCGGGATCACCATCGGAGGGGGGCATGGAAAACCGTCGACCGGCAGCAATGACAACAAATGACGAGGGAGGTCAACGATCATGACATTCAAAGTAGCGCCGAGGAACGGACAACGGCGACCGACAAAAATTGCAATAATAAAAATAACAACAAAGAAGACAGCTTGACAAAACACCCAAGACAATTAGCACCAGACAAGCTACGAGAACAGCACTACTCCAAGAAGGGCGGCTCGAGTCCGATGGTATTTTCGTATGCGTACCCAGCCCAGCCTGCCTGGAGACCAGCCAGCTTAATCTTAGGCCACGGCGTTCCTTGTCCTTGTCGCGAAGCATCGGCTTATACCCCCTGCTTCTGCTACTGCTTCTTTGCTGCGGCGCTGGATGCTTTCAACATACCCCATCCATGGAAAATAAGTGGAGGATGGATCCCCGAATCCCGATCCCTGAGAAGCGACTGACTGGAGACCTGGCCACTGCACGCGTGGGCTGCGATACGAGCGGCAGCCGGCAAAAGAATAAGAAAAAAAAAAAAACACAGAGTCCAGATCGGTCTCTGTCCGACAGGCCCTGTCGGTGTTGTTATTTCTGTAGTGACGATGCAGCAACCGCAGATGAAGAGGAGCCAAGCATTTGAAATGAGGGGCGCAGAACCGCCGCGGCGATGAAGATGTAACATTTGCCGGCAGCTCAGAGGTTACGATTACGTCGAGGTTATTCTAGAGGCGGCGGCTTTGGCGGCGACTGGTGTGGGACGTATCTGTGTAACGACGATAGCTCGGGGCATCGTGGTTTGACTACGATAGTATCTATCGGTTCCTCCGTCCCTCCCGCCCCTCTGTCGACGATAACGATCATCACGAACAAAGTGCCTCAGGCAAAGTGGTTGAATTACAGCTGCATTGGTTCTCCGGGGGTTGCCATGCCACGACAGTTCATATTAGGTACTGAGTAAATATGTGATGGGTCGGAGTTTGTGCTAATAAGGCGGGTGAGAGAGGTTTATCGGTGAAGGTGGATTTTAAGGGTCTTTTAGGAAGCTGAGCGTTGTTGTTGAAAGGTATATCCCTACAATGTCTCGTCCACCGCTAATTTGCAGGGCCACGGACGCTGCAATGGCATTATTGCTTTTTTGGCCTTTTTTATTTTTGATTGTTTGGTTGTCACCTTCTCGCTGCTCTCGGAGTGCATTGCGGCGGCGCGAACAAGGAAGAGTCGAGACCCTTGGCCTAAAACCAAACCTGCCCCTTGGCCCAGCTTCTAGAGCCCACCAACCACTTCCTCACTAGACCTTAGGGGAAGGTGAAGGAGCGGCAAGTTAAACCCCAAGCAACTAGCGCCCGAGTCGACCACGCGCACGCCCACCCCTCTAGAAAACAAACGATTACGGTAGGAGGTTAAGAAGCATTAAGGAGTACTGCTCCTACTACGTATGTACTAGTATAGCTCAAACTATTGCTGCTTACCATGTAAGTAATACGGTGAGGAAGGACTTGTAGAGAAGCACGAGAGTTAAGAGACATTGACGGAGTGACACGCGAGCAAAAAGCCTCGCTCCCCTCGCTCAAGGAGGTTCCCAGCGATCTCCATCAGCCCACGGACAGTTAGCGCGTCGAGGCGAGAGAGAAACAGCACCGCCTGGTTACGTAGTGTCGTTCTTCATTTCAGGGTCCTTTTTCTCCAGAGCAGCGCAGGAACTGATTCCGCTATCTGACCCAATTTGTAGTATGCTAAGTTAAGCTAACCCTTCGTTATCCCCTGGATTCATCTCTGTCGAGCCGAGGCGGTGGCGGGAGAGTGGACGAGACGAGACAAGCAGGGCGGAAGCCGAGCGAGAGGGACAGACAGGACGGTTAGGTCCAGTTACTGGGGAACGGGCACCCGAAGCGGAAAGGATCAAAAAGAAAAAGAGGACGGTTGAAAGAAGAGGCTTGGGCTCTCTCTCTCTCTCTCTCTTGCTTTGGAGGGGTTGAGAGCCACTGTGGAAACAGCTCTTTTTGCAGTTAGAACGAGAAAGAGACGAGAGAGTGTGAAAGACTGAAGGGAAAGAGACCGCGCCCCCTCGACGGGGACATGGCCGGGGTGTTTAGGTGGGTTGAAAGACGGTTTGGCCCAACCACGCACGCGGAAAGAAACCCGCCCACAGCAGCAGAAGTCGCTAATCCCCTTGTGGGATTGGGGGCACTTTGGCTTTACTCGGGGCAGGTGGATACTTGGGTGAGAGACACAGAGAGAGAAAAAAGCACTGACTGGGACGCTGGGACTGTTGGACGGGGGCTTCCCTTGTAGGTGAAAGGGCGGTCGCCGTCGCCTCCGCCGCCGCCAACCATCATGGCCGCCGCCGCCTTGCCTCTCTTTCGCTCTCTCTCTCCCTCTCTCTGTTTCTCGGGCTGATACCTCTGTATCTACCCCCCCTGACGCCACTGGGATTTCTGGGCTTTGGCCTTGGGTTGGATCTGGGGAGGGTCTCGCTGAAATTCCGTCGAGGTGATATAGCTGAGGTGGTGGCTTTATCTTTGTTTTTTAATTGCTTGGTTTTGGGATTGACATGCTCATTACACCTTGGCAGGTCGACGTTCGTATCTCTCAAAAGAGAGTTTAAAGGCTTATCTCAGTCGAGGGAGGATTTACGTGGAATGATCGAGGATGAGCCAAGTTGCATCTATCGGTGTGAACATCTTGCTGCACTGCTTGCTCTCTTTCTCTCTCTCTTCCCATCTGCCATAGGGGGTGTGGTGTGCACTCTCCAATCTACCCCCCTCAGCGATAATGATGCCCTGGTATGCAGCGTGTCATGTCCCGTCCACCCCTACCACGCTACCGCGCTACCACACTCCTCTTCCTCTTCCCACCACCCCCCCAAGAGGTGACACTCCCCCTCCTTCCCCAGCGCCTGGCCTTTCCTCTCCGCCTCCCTCCCACTCGGGCAACTCACTCCGGCCAATTGCCGCAGCATTAAAACTAATAGGGAACCCGCTCCCGCAAGCCTCTACCTCATTCACGGCTCGCCCTTAAGGCTCCTTCTCCCACGCCCCCAGTCACTGGTGTCTCGTCCCATTTCATCCCCCAATCGACCGACCACTACTTCACCAAACCCGCTCCCACCTCCCATCGCACGAACGCATTTTATCTTTTGCGACTTGCTTCTTCCTCTCCCTTGGCCTATTTCTTATCTTCACCCAAAGAAACAACAAAAAAGGGAACACACCAACCTGGTTGATCGAGCGCATCTTTTAAAACCTCCACGATAACACCAACACCCTCGACCTGTACTTTTGGACGTTTGCGGCACGCTTGCTTCCAACCCACGGTTCACTTAGACCCGAGTCCTATCCTGAAGCATCCCTCCGATAACACACATACACACGAGACCTAACGCCTCGCCTTCGTTCTTAATCAAACCCCCCCAGCCGCCCGCAACATTCTGCCACGACACGAAAGCTGTTGCATTCCTCAACTACGCGCCTCATTTGGATTACTTTAATCGGTTCTTACCGCTGCCATCCTCGAGACGCTCCATTATCCTCAACTACCCTCAACTAAGCTTACACCGCACAACTTTTACAACCACCTTCACACTGTCTCCGATACAATGGCAACCGAACTCGTAATGCCTGCCCTCATCGACCAGCGTGGGCCCTTCTACGCTCCCCAGCGCCCCGATTTTGGCCACACGAGATCGCAGTCTTTCCAGACGGCGCCCCGTCCCTATGGCCAGCGCGTCTCGCCACTGAGCACTCCCCACGATGGCTCCCCGACCTCGCCCAAGTCGTGCTTGAACGAGTCGGTACGCCCCATCTACATGCCTGCCGTCCTCCGCCCGACCCAGCACCACTCCAAGATGCCCCGGACTCCCAAGGCCGAGGACATGGACGGTGAGGACCTCTTGTGCCTGCGCCGCTCCAACAGCAGCTTCATCAGCTTGCCCGGCTTCAGCGTCATCGGCCAGAAGCTGTCGCGTCGCTCCACTGGCGACAGTGGCAAGGTTATCGACCTTGACCTGGATCCCGATCTGTTCCCCGAGGTCACCGGAGAGCCCACCCGCAAGCACTGGAAGGTAAGTCCCACGACGGCTCACTGCATATTTGACGAGCCTGGAGAACTAACAAACTCTCAACAGCCCGACACCGAGTCCACCATGTGCGACGACCCGACCTGCAAGCGCAACTTCAACACCTTCACCCGTCGTCACCACTGCCGCCGCTGTGGCAACATCTTCTGCGGGCCTCACTCTGCCAACGTCATTCCCCTCGACGAGGGCTGCAACTACAACCCCCGCGGAGCTCTCTCCCGCGCCTGCTTTCACTGCTTCACCGAGTTTAAGGTCTGGAAGAGCCGTAACGGCAGCCGCAGCGGAAGCGACCAGAGCTCCGACTCCCACAGCAGCAGCACCACCACCCCGACGAGCCCCATCGTCGCAAGCCCGGTCGCCCCTTCGACTCCGGGTCTCCTGCCTCCTACCAAGGGCCCCGAGGTTGCGGCCAGTGTCCCTCGCGACTGGAACTGGAGCACCTTTTGAGGGACAGAGAGAGAGACACACAAGACGACAGCGGAAGGCTTACACAAGAATCTTTTGGACGCGAAAACAATAAGCGGATCACGACTGAATGCCTTTAATTTTACGAAGAGCGAATCACAATAGAAATCATAGACATACACACGGCGGCGGAGATTCTCACCAACCACCCCGACGATACCAAACACCAACACACAAGAATACCCACTAATGGACTGCACATACGCGTCACAACCATTACACTCGATCCGCACATAGAAGGCCTTTACAGTTTTGAGTCTGACCGATTCGACTTTGGCCGTGTTTTGCATTTAGCGTGGCGTTTGATGGGACTATCAGGTTTTGCATTTGGCTTGTCTTTATTTGTTTAAACAGTATTGGGATGGCTCGCCACAACATTGGGCTCTAATTTAGCCCTGGCGAGTAAGGAGTTTGACGGCATACCCGATGGAGGTGTCTATACCCCAGATGTGAGGGCCGGGTATTCCGTCTGTTCCCTGACCCTCAACCTTGCGTGGTGGGGGAAGGGGAAACAGGAAAGCGGAATAGGTCGGCCGAACACCTTCATGGATCGGCGTTTTGTATTTAGAGTTGACATCACCGTATTGGTTGATGACATGGAACGATACAGGATGGGGGAAAGAGGAAAGGGGAAACAACCCGGACGGGCTGCGAGCTAACCTTGCTGTGCTCGACGCCGTGGCCAAGTCTCCTCGAGTACCCCCGCATGACAGAAGAAGAATACTATTTGTTGCACGTACAAAGTTCAACCTTGCACGCCTCGCCGTTTTGTGACTGAAGTGATTCTCGCCAGGGACGATGAGAGGCGAAGCCTCTTGGTCGTAGACTTTTGTATGTTGCCCGTGTGTCTGCGATGTCACCATGTCACGATATCCACGATACTCACAACGTCCTACCCCTCGCGCCTCGAAAAGGCCAATGACTCCTCACCGACATGGTTACTTTTTTTTTTTTTTTCTTTTCTTGGGCATCGTCCCAGCATGGCAATCCTTTAGTTTGGGAACGCGAGACACCTCTGTGGATAAACAAGACTGGTTGTGTGGAAGGTGACTTTCACCAGTGTAGTAGTCAGTCAGTCAGCCTGTTCCCTTTTTTTTTCTTCTTTCGTGCCGAAGCTAGCCTAGCGGCTTTCTTACTATCCCCCCCCCCTCCCCCTCCTCTCTCAGCACCGGCGTATTCCGTCCTCGACGGATGGTTTAGACTTGTTTGTTCGCCCCCCCCCCCCCCCCCCCCCCCCCCCCCGCATATCATTATTGAGCGAATCTGGCGGCGGTAGCGGTGGTTAGTTTGGAGGTTTTTTTTTTTTTTTTTTGCGTATTACTACCTTTTTATTTTGTATAAGTGGATGTCGATGCGTTTGGTTATTATGATTAGTTTCAAAAAGTCATTTTGGTCTTGGGTACGAGGGCAGCTGTTCGAAGGAGCGCGAAAGAGGGGGGGGGGGGGGGGGGTAAGGTATCATGAAGGCAGGTCAGGTCGGTATGATCCGTCGAGAATGCATGTGCTTTTTCGTAGGTTTATAAGAGCAAAGTCTTATTCTTGGTGTGTGTATGTGTGTGTGTGTGTGTTTGCACATGGGCGGGGTTTTGAAGAACGGGACGGAACGAAACGAAACGGCGTTATGATGAATGAATGACTTGATCCCTTCACCCCTTTTCTTGCTTACTCCAAGCCTAGTAGGAGATGGATGGATGAGTTTGGTGGTGAGCTGTGTGGATTATCATTACACGCTCCGTCTCATTGCCACATCATTATGACTGTACGCCAGACTGTGACTGACGGGGGACATGTGAAAGGGAAGATTGGGGTATGACGAGACTCGGCGGATAGGTAGGTCTCATGGTGTTGATGTCTGCAACGTGGGAAATATTATCCACATACACACACACACACACTTACACGTCCACTTTTCACGCTCACACTCACTCACATTCCAACACCCAAAGTCAGAGGTCAGAGTCAGAAGTCGGAGTCAGGATGAGGTAGGTAAGCACGCAGACGACACACACACACACACACACACACACACAACACACCGACTTTCGACGAACGCGGACTATAGCGCAGCCGCTAGCCAACAAACACACCCCCACCCCCTCCTTCCTTCCCCCTTCCCACTCCCCGCACCATCTCATACAGTAAAATGAGTGGAATAGGCCTTCGTGGACACGCATCTTGCAGCGAGGGTATATATAAAGACTGCAGCAAAGTACCTACCTACTTTACAACCCCGCACTCGAACGCCGCACGCGCGCGCGCCCGCGCGGCTGCAGGAAGCCGTAGCGGCAAATCCGTGAGGGAAACCAAACCACATGCCCGTCTGTCTGTCCGTCTGTCCGTCTGTCCGTCTTGATACCCCCCTTCCCTGTGGCGCCCCCGCAAGTTTAAAATGTCGCCGCATCAGTCCGTGTTGTGGCTCAGACGTGTCGGTGACAGTGGGCACGTGTTGCTTCTGTTGCTGCTGGTGCTCGGTGGGTGCGGTAGGTTTGGTGTATGGTATGTCAGTGGTGAAGGATTCAAAGGGTCAGGGTCTGGGCTTTAGCGTTGGCTTTGACATGACAACCGAAGCGCAAGCGTGTCTTTGCATGTCCATCCATCTGCGTGGGGCGTCGAGTCGGAATGTCACCTTGATAACAGTTTCAAGATGGGGTGCGTACGCCGAAGTGTGACTGAATGGAAAATATATATACATGACTGGGCTGTGTCCGGATGACCTCCGGCCATCATCCCGGGATGCGTGATGTGTCGCCGGAGCCCATAGTCCGGATCTCGGAGGATGCCCCCACATTTAACGCACTTTTGTGTCGCCGCTTCCGGGCCGTGTGCTGGTCCCTGTCCTCATCCGGCTGTGGCGTTTTCCCGACATTCTGGTCACTAGACCCAATTCACAGCTGTCGACTCGCCATGGCCACAAACTTATTGGCTCCAAATCAAACATACGACGAACACGGACAAGCGGGACCTCTGCGTGACAAAATTCAGGTTGGGTGACTATGTATATATACTCGTGCCGGGTCGCGCCCGATTTGCCTATGTACCCCTCCCCCAAACGGTGAAATGCAAACAAAGACTCTAGACAGTTACGACTAGATAACGAGCGCTACGGGCGATGCAAATGCTTACCCCAAATGTTTTCCCTGCTCAAAACGCCAGTTAAGTATGACCATGCCGCCTCCTTGGACGCCTCTCTCAGTGCCGTCCCTCCTCCAGTTATCTCGTGTTTCCCATTCCCATTATCACCCGTTCTGCTCCCCATACAAAAATCCACTTAAGCACGGGCCTTGGCCTTTCCGTTGGCGCGGCGGGGGCTGCCCTCCACAGCGTACTCGGCAGAGCCGTTGTAGATCTCGCGGTTGACATCACGAGCCGCATCCCAGCCAGCCTTCTCTGCCAAGGTGACGTTGCTCTCGCGGCGGGCCTTGCCCTTACCCTTGGCCGACTCGGCGCTGCTACGGCGGAGGTAGCTGCGGATGAAGAACATGACGAACAGGTAGGTAAGGGGAGCCAGGTAGAAAACATTGAGCCAGATGGCGAACGTCTCGCCGCTGGTGGTGATGCAGGGCTGAGTGACGTAGACGGTCTCGGCAATGAAACCGGGCTGGGGAGGAGCGGCAGCGGCGACGGACGCGCTGGCAGCCTCCTCAGCAACCTTGGCCGTGGCACCAAAGACCATGTTCTTGAGAGTCTCGAAGGCACCAGCGGCAGCAGTAGCAGTGGCCTCAACAGCGGTGCTGCTGGTGGCGGCCTCAGCTGCAGCCTCGGCGGCCTTCTTGGAAGTGTAGACGGTCACAGGGACGGTGTATGACACAAAGGAGTGGAGCATAGCGTACGAAGCACCGACGAGGAACTGGGTGATCTGGAGGGTGGTGAGGGTTCGCTTGATGGCCATGGGGACGCGGATGTTGAAAGCGGTGATGGTGTAGTAGGTGTACTAGTTCGACTGGTTAGCATCTCTATTGCCCCCAAAAAACAACAAGCGGCGCGCAAAACTTACCATCATGGCGTGAATAAAGGAGTTGACCAAAACGAACATCCAGATGGGGGCAGACATGTAGCGAATACCGGCCCACATGCACATCATGGCACCGGCGTGGTGGTAGGTCTGGAGAGTGGAGCTAAGCTTGCCCTTGGCCAGGATGATGAAGGTATCGAGGACCTCGTAGAACTTGCTCAGATAGAAGATCCAGCCGTAAAAGGCAAGGCCCTCGTTCCAGATTCTGCCAGAAGCGGTACGGCTGGGGCGACCATCGAAACCAAGCGCGGACTGTCCAGTCAAGCTCTGCCAGAAACCAACAGTCTCGTTGTAGACGGTAGCGGAACCGAAGCCGCCGTTGCCGTTGAGCTGGCAGAAGCTATCGGCGGTGGCAGCGAGGCCATTGGGACCGAAGGGGCTCACAACACTCCTGCGCATGCCTCCCAGCATACCCCAGAAAGTCCAGGCCGAGTAGACGGCAAGGAAGACATTGTGCAGGACGACAAAGGCGAAGAAAGGCTTCGTCTTGCTGATGGCCCAGGGCTTGCGGTTAGTGGACCTGTTGTACTTGTTCAACAAGCTGACAGTGACGGCGTAAGTGGCGGCAATGGTGATGGGCACCTTGGGGTCAAGGGCGGCGGAGAAAATGTGGTCAGGAATCTCGAAGGGGGGTGCGGCGGCGATGGATCCGGGCTGGGGTGGGGGGATGGCCATGTGGGCGCCGTCCGGCGGGAAGGTGAAGAGGGAGGCGGGCGGAAGCTCGCTGAGCACGGTGACGCCGGCCATGGTGGGGGGTATTGACCAATTGAGGGCCTCGATTCGATTTCTTACGGTCCCGCTGTTCGCTCGGGCGTTGGGGTTGCTGAATCGCGTTGCAGCAAATGAGAGAGAAGCTCGTTTGCGACGAGGGCAGCTGGGCACACGACAGTCGCAGTGCTAACAGAAAGCTGTTGAGTATAGTTCGACGGTCTAGCAAGTGCTTCTCTGCTTCTCGTAGACGTTTGATACTGAATAATAGGAGCTTCGAGGTCCTCCTTTCAAACAAAATAAGTTGAAACTCTGGCGTATGCAAAGCTTCAAGCTATGAGGCAAAGACAAAGATTTTGTCCGTCGCAAGGGGATGGTGAAGAGAGGAAGACGAGGTGAAGAACAGAGGAGAGAGGAATAAAGAAGAGGAAGAAGCAGAACAGGCGGCAAGGTCAAAGCGAGGGGATCCTCGAGGTCTTAATATGGGGAAAGGGAGGGTGGTGGTTTTCTGGACCAGACGGGGACGGGGACGGGGACGTGGACATGGACGTGGAGTGGATATGCTGTGTAGTACCTAGACTGGCGGCTCCTCCCACCTCGTCACGTAGCTTGACTGAATTTTGGCGTGGGGAGATGGGAGAAGTTAGTCTCTGCTCGGGCTTTAGTCATATTTAATGCTGGGCCGGGTAGCAACAGTGTACGTTAAGCATGTCAAGCATGGCAAGGCAAGGCATAGCAAGCTGGGCATCCATCCGTAAATGCGCCTTCCACCGTCTCAATGCAACGCTCAAAGTCAAACGGTACGTACAACTGCGACTTTAACCTATCAACAGGTGCCCTGTTCAAGTAAGGGGAAGGAAGACATGAACCAAAAGATGGGCCAACAAGAAGGAAGGTGTGGATGGGCATTCTGCAGATGTACTACGTACCGTTAGAGAAAGGATTAAGGAGAAAAAAAAAATTAACGAGTTGTGACAAGAGGTCAGGGACGCATGGCCAAGCACTTACCACCACCACCACGACTACCATGACTTGGTACCAGATCAGCAGGATTCAACAAGCAGGAACAGTGATGGAAAAAGATAATGCTTATCGCCTTCCCGAAGCCGCAAGTCCCTCGTGCGCGCTTGCCCGCCTTGTCGGATGGCCGCGCAAGGTGCCAATTTTCTGTGGATTCCACTTCTGAACACTAGTATTACGATTCGATGAGAGTGGACCGCCAAGCAACAGACATACATTCATCCATACACACACACACACACACAGGCTCATCATCATTGCAAGTACGGAGTACCTTGTCACTCTCGGCCTAGACGATGATTGTTGAGCAAGCACATGATTAACACCAGCAAGCTTAACTCCGGACGAAAGGCACCGCAAACGCAGACTGCAATCTTGTTAACGATTGGCGCCTTGTTAACGGATGGGGAACGGGAGACTCCATCTTCAATCTGAGCTCAACTCCTTAAAGCTGACTTGCCTCGGCTTCTCGACATCATCCTTGCCCCCGGTCTTCTCGCTATTCCCAATTCTTTTCCTCCTTTGACCTAGCAGGATAAACTAACGACCCTAGCCTTCTGGGGTGAATTCCGCAAAGGAAGAAAAGGAAAAAAATGGTCCATGCAACTTACTCCAACGTACCAGACGTGAACATCAAGCCTCGGGTCACTGACCAAGAGGAATCATTACTGCCGTTGAACAATCTTGCCTTTGCGCGGCTGCCAATTTGCTGACTGAAACAGTTGGAGAGCTGCGACATGGATGCTTCCTTGAACGTGTTCCATGACCACTAGAGCTATTCCCTTTTTCGATAACGGCAAGCCAACGGCTATGGCAGCGCATTGGGAGCTTTGGTCACCAGCTCCAACTCTAATCCGGCTGCGGCTGCGGGTGTGGCAGGAAGGCATGATACGGAACATCTGTTCGACCCATTGTCAACAAACCTATTGTCTACCTAGCAGCACTGACTGTGTCACCGTGCCTTTCTTTATTCCACGTCAGTCAGTGCTCACGGGTCACACCACTTGCAACATTATGCGCCGAATGCGAGTACATGCTGAGCTTTGTCTCTATAAAGTAAAAAAAACTGTCATCGGGAGCTCCGGACGGTCAAGTTGAAAAGTCAGGTGAAGTGTAATACACATTTTGGAAATGCAGTTGGGTAACAAGGGGGCCTTCGTTGTCCCCCACTCCCTTCTGGAAGCTCAGGCTGAGGTTCTGCCCCTTGTTCCTAGCGGGTTCCTCACCTGCGGATCTCGTAAACATACGGACCAACTGTTAGTACAGAGCGCTACGGGCTGGTTCCCACTGCTAACAAGCTCAAGGTAGTGCAAGTAAAAAACTTACTATCAACCATCTTTCCGCGTGGGTCCTGGCTACCCGGCCTCCGTCTATTTTGTTGGGGAGCGCTATGCCCGATGCAGCACATTCTTCTGCTTCGTGTCGAAGATTTTTCAGTTTTAATTGCAGCTCTTTTGCAGGCGGATCCTCTTATCTAATCACCATGAAGTCACTTCTCGGTCACCGATAAGCATGTGAGCGACCAACCCCAGAGCAACAGCACTCTACGCGGTTCGCGATCGTATCATTGATGACGGATTACCAAGTCGGAGTTTGACTGATGAGCACTCGGCCGGAACGGACGGGAAGAAGCCGTTTATGCATGCCTTTACGTCTTCCCCGTTCACCCAGCTTCGGATCATTCAAGGCTTTGTCTTGGTTGCACCCCCCAACCGGTCGCGCCCAACCAGACCTTCTTACAGTCGGTTTTGGTTGGTTGTGTACTCCCGTACTGAACACTTCAACGAACATGCACCCGTGACGCTCAACTCCGAAATCCGCAATAACTAGGAAAAAGGAAACCAGGAAGGAGCTTGCGTGTGTGCTTCCAAACGGTCAACAATTTCTTCGCGGATCGACTCTCACATGCATTTTTCCGACCGTCAAAGTCAAGTTTCCCAACAAATTCGGCTTCGAGAGGCAAAACGCGGCCCCAACTTCCGTTTTGAACGCTCTTGGCCGCCAGACCGCCCATCGCCAGATGTCACCCCGCCCCCTGTACTACGTAGGCAGACCCGCCTCAGGACCCTGAAAAATTCCACGCCTGCAGGTTAGAGGGGAAGCCAATCTGGCGTTTGGCCACTCTGTGAGGCCAGCCAGCCAGCCTGCCTGCCTCACTGTCACTGACCAGCTTGCCCGCTCGCCCGGATCTGCTCGCTCCCGCCTCCAGTAGTGCTAAACGGCAAGCCCATGCGCTCCCGGGTGCTAGACTGGGCGTCTCCGAGCTCTCCATCGCCGATCCCGACTCTAGTTTCCCGTAAGAAAGGTCCGTAACGCCGGAGTCTGATAGGCTTCGACTGCGGACTAGGACGGCCGGGCCGGCACAAACGGCTGATCCGGTCACAGAGCTTGGTACCGACAAATCAGAGGACCAACATCAGCCCTGGACGTCACTGGCACTCGAGAGATTCGCAAGGCTTGTCCTAGCATGGCACGTAAGTCTGCCGGAAGAAATGCTCGCCATCAATTGGTAAAAGTTTATCGCATCTAAGCAGATGAAATAACTGACGGACAGCTGCTGAGATCATAAGCTGACTTTTCCAATTTTGTGGTGTCCATGCGAGCCGAGGCTGAACTCTTTCCAGCTTAACAGACTGCATCAACGATCTGCCCCACAGGATCTTAAAATCTCACCCAAAGCAAGGTAACATACGATCTGCAGATAGAGTCAACCCGGCATTTTCTTGTGGGCGCAACCATGTACCGCCTCCAAATTTGGCCATTGTTGGTTTGTCGGGAAACATGGCTAAGTTGTTCACTGCACGACTGGGCCATTTTGAAACCAGTGCCGTTTTTTTAAGACAAGGACAACACGTGTCGCAACCGCGCTTCTGTTGCTTTGCCTCTTCGTTCCAGTGTTAGTCAATCCTGCATCGGGTGTCATTGACTTCAGTTGAGTACATTTGGTACATGTGGTATACTGGTTGCATAAAGGTGCTTTCCTCTCTCGTCAACGAGCAGCTCTCGGTGTCCGACTGGCTCCCGTTCCTATCCCCCTTCCCCGCACGATCACCCAGCTCGGTAATACATCACCAGCTTGAGGTTGCATGCGCCCACCCAAGTGCCGCGACACAGCCCTGCACCCCACCAGGAAACAATGTTGACAGTCCAATCATCCTGTGTTAACGTTGTGGCGCTGGCTTTTGGCTTTTTGGGCACGCTGAAGATAACTAGAGGCTTAAGCAGGTTTCTAGAGGATATCAAGTCACATTGCTGGCTCACTCTTAAGCCGCCACAAAGTGTCCCGGATCGGGCCTAGGTAGCCCAGCCGAAAAGAAGAAAGCTGAAGATGGGCTTGGAGCTGGGCTCGTCTCGTCGCACAGACCCCGCACCCATGGGAAACAAACACCCCTGCAGCACCGCCATGCGAGTAGCAGGGGGTAGCCAACGACGTATCTGTGCTTCCCCCCCAGCCCAGCATCAGTCGATCATGAGCTTCCGAGGTGCCTTTCCTCACGCGCGCCACTGAAAGTATACCTTATCTGAAGCTCTCCCTCGCTTGATTGCGTGTAACTCTGCTACACATCGACACCCTCCGTCTACTGCCTGCCATATACTGCAGCATTGTGTATCCCGAACAACCAGAACTACTGTACCAACATCACGACACTCCATCGCAATGGGTTTGCCGGACCAGGTCTCCCAAATCCAGCTTCCGCCGCTGCCGGCGTCCGAGTTCTGGAATGAGTTGCAATGGACCGTCCTCTTCTCTCTGCTCGAGGCAGCTCTCCCGTCCATCTCGCAGCCAGCGACCCTTTCGGACCAAGCGAACCAGGTCCGAGTGTCTGAAGCCGAATATGCCCAGGCCCTCCACCTCGTACAGAACACCATGAAGAAGCCCCCGTCAGAGGAGAAGTTTCAAGAGTGGCTAGCACACTGTCCCGCAAAAGAACCGAAATTCGTCGAAAGCGTCAAGAGAACGCTGGCCGTATTGCCCGGTGCTGCGCAGCGCACACTGGGTGGTGCAATGGGTGCTTTGGCGTATGTAATAATCAGTCGAGCTTTCAATGATCTTGGATAAACCAATTAGCTCTAACTATTGTCAACAGGACTCGCACTGGTACTCTGTTTCTTACTGGGTACTGGACACCGGTTCATCAACAACCGGTCCATGTCCGTGAGAGCATGCTCAAGGCGTGGCAGACCTCCAGGCTTCCAACTATCCGCGTTTTGTCAAAGTCAATATGTCTACTGGCTCAAAAGTGTGCCGTGCAAACCAGTCCCTTATTCAGGGAGTTGACTGACTACACCGACATGCCGGACTTCCAGACGCATGGCGAGGGCTTCGACTTCAACTTCATGCAGTTCGACTCATCCCCCTCGCCAGCCGTCGTTGAGACCGACATCGTAATCGTGGGGTCCGGCTGCGGCGGTGCCGTGGCGGCGAAGGTCTTGGCTGAGGCGGGTCACAAGGTTCTCGTTGTCGACAAGTCGTACTACTTCCCCCCGTCCCAGCTACCCTTGCCGCAGGACATGGGATGTCAGTACTTGTACGAGAACGGAGGCTTTCTCACCAGCGACGACAACTGCCTCAACATGGTTGCGGGAAGCTGCTGGGGTGGTGGTGGTACCGTCAACTGGAGTGTTAGCCTGCAGACGCAGGGCTTCGTACGGAAAGAATGGTCCGAGAAACGCGGCCTGCCGTTCTTTACGTCTCCCCAGTTCCAGAACTCCCTGGACAAGGTTTGTGAATTTATGGGCGTAAGCACCGATAACATCCGCCACAACCACCGTAACAAGGTCCTTCTCGACGGTGCTCGGAAGCTTGGATGGCACGCCGCTACGGCCCCGCAGAACACGGGCGGTGCAGAGCACTATTGTGGCCAGTGCCACCTCGGCTGTGGATCAACGGAGAAGCAGGGTCCTACCGTCAGTTGGTTGCCGGCGGCTGCAGCGTCGGGCGCCAAGTTTATCGAGGGATTCGAGGTTGAGAAGGTCACGTTTGATGAGTCTACTGGTACCAAGCGGGCGACTGGTGTTGTTGGAAAGTGGATTTCGAGAGACGTCAATGGACTTCTCAGCACGCCGGTGGACCAGAGAACTACTAGAGAGGTTATCGTGAAGGCCAAAAAGGTCATCATGTCTGCTGGCTCAGTCTCCAGTCCATTGGTGTTGTTGCGGAGCGGCCTGACTGTGAGTGGTTTTCTTTCCAACGCCAACGTCCTGTCCTAACTGTGCTAGAACCGACACATTGGACGTAACCTCTACGTTCATCCCTGCAACTTTGTCGGAGGATACTGGAAAGAGGACACCAAGCCATGGGAAGGTGAGTAATAGTTGTCTCCGCGGGGAACACATTCTAACGCGGACAGGCGGCATCATCACAAGCTATTGCTCCAGCTTTGAGGACCTGGACAAGGCAGGCCACGGCGTCAAGCTCGAACCAACCTGCATGATTGTACGTTTTCACTCCTCTTCCTTTGAACAGCCTGCTTACTGATAACCCCTTCAGCCCTATACTATTCTGTCAAGCATGCCATGGCGGTCCGGTTTTGATGCGAAGCTGGTACAGCTCCGCTTCCGTCACTTTGGCGCCTTTATCTCGCTTACCCGTGACCGTGACCCTGGCCGCGTCTATCCTGATCCGATCACTGGTCGCCCCAGAATCGACTACGTCGTCTCCGACTTTGACCGCGCCAATACCATGGAAGGCGTCATTGCGCTCGCAAAGATTTGCTACGTGGAAGGCGCGTCAGAGATTCATGCGGGCTTCCCCGGCCTCGATCCTTTCGTGCGTGACGACCATGCTGAGGCGCCTGAGAAGTCCATGGCAGACCTTTCGTCTTCATCGCATGATTGCAATTCCAATGACGACGGAATGCTAGACGGCATCAACGACCCCAAGTTTGTGGCTTGGCTGGACAAGGTGAGGCAGGTGGGCAACGCGCCGCCAGTGGCCATCTTCTCGTCCGCGCACCAAATGGGCACGTGCAGGATGGCGCCGAATGAGGACGAAGGCGTCGTCGGACCCAAGGGTCACGTTTGGGGCACGGAGGACCTCTTCGTTGCGGACGCGAGCGTGTTCCCGAGTGCCAGCGGAGTGAACCCGATGATTACCAACATGGCCATTGCGGACTGGATCGCGGGGGGTATCGCGAAGGAATTGAAGGCCGATGCTTGATGGAGCGCAGACGGAACTTGTACAAAGCTGTGCTGTAAAGTGGCGACTGAAGTCAAATGTGCATGTATACCCGGATCGCAGTCATCGGACGCGCGCATATAGGGGTTGTATTCCCAAGATAGATGTGTTTTTTGCAGCAAGCGGCTAGTCCGTTCGCGAGCATCATACACGGTGTACTTGAGTATTGTATCGTTGTAACATTTACTATGCTTCTTCTTCTTCTTCTTCTTCTTCTTCGCCTACAGACCCCCCCCCCCCCCCCTTCTTTTTTTAAGAGTCCAAAAAAACATGTTCCAACATTATCCCTAGCGTGAGCTATCACTAACCCGAGCAAAGTTCAACAAAAAAGGTACCATCACAACTGCAAAAGAGATCACGGCATCTCCCACCGCCCGCTCTTCCCGCCATCCTTCAAGACAACCCTCAACCCCCCAATCACCATCCCCTTATCCACGGCCTTGCACATATCATACACGGTCAACGCGGCCGCCGAGGCAGCCGTCATGGCCTCCATTTCGACCCCGGTCTTGCCGTCGCACGTAACCGTCGCCTCGACGTTCAACACCGTCTCGTCGTCTGCCTCGGACGCGGGCTCCAGCTCGACGCCGACGTGGGAGAGCAGAATCGGGTGGCACAGCGGTATCACGTCCGGGGTGCGCTTCGCGGCCATGATGCCCGCTATGCGCGCCACGCCTAGCACGTCGCCCTTCTTCATCTGGCTCGCGCGTACGAGGCGGAGGGCCGTCGCGGAGGAAAAAGTTACTGTGCATACTGCCTTTGCGACGCGCGAGGTCGGGGTCTTTTCGGAGATGGAGACCATGCGTGCTGAGCCGGTGGGAGAGACGTGGGTCAGGGATGGGTTGGCGAGGTTGTCTTTCGGGGGGGAATCGTCTCGGCCGCGGCGGCGGGTGGTCGTTGAGGAGAAGAGGCGAAGTTGAGATGTGACGGTGGTGGTGGTGGTGGTGATGGGTAGGAGGTGGGTGGGAACTCCTGGGATGCCTCTGGACCACCGTTGCGAGATGGGTGAAGATGGAGGGAGAATCGGGGACACGAGTTGTGAGGCACGGCGAGCTGGGCGACGAGACGAACGCGGTTGTTGAGGATCTAACGTATAAAAGGAACAAAAAACTATTTAGCCTTCCCGGGTCATGATACATCCATTTGAATTCATTAAACCCCGTTTCCCCGGAACAAGCCCGCCGCAACCAGGTTTCCCCTCCAAAAAACTGTGGTATGCAACGCCGGTCTCAATGCAATAAGAGTAGTCTGCCACTCCTCGAAAAGACACAATGATGGGGGAAAGGAGGAAAAGAACAAAAAGAAGAAGAAGGCCATTACCCACCTATTAAGATCATCGGCCTGTTCTTCATGTGCTCCAGCTCCCCGATGCCCGCGTGCTTCTCCTTCTTCCGCTTGACCGCCATGCCGATGACGTCGAGCAGCTCTGCCTCATTGAGGGCCACGCCCAGAGGCTTATCCGCTTCAGCCAGCCCCTGCCGGCGGTCCATCTCGATCTGTTTCATCGCCTCAAAGGCCTGCTCGTCGATGGGGTCGCCATTGTTGGACTTGCGCAAAATGTCCCGCAGCGAGACCTCGGTGTTGCCAAAGAGACACACCTTGAGGTTGCCGTCGCTAGTGATGCGCAGCCGGTTGCAGGTGCCGCAGAAGTTGTGCGTCATGCTCGTGATGAAGCCTATCCTACCCGCGTGGCCGGGGATGCGCCACGTCTTGCTCGTGTCGTTCTTGTGGTCCTTGACCTTTTCCAGCGCCGGGTACTTCTCGCGGATCATGTCCAGCATCTCGGAGTAGCCCAGCATCTTGCCTTGGTTCCACTTGTTGCCATCGAACGGCATGTACTCGATGAAACGCACCTCGACGTTCTTGTCCCGCGTCATCTCGACGAAGGGCACGATCTCGTGGTCGTTGCGGCCCCGCATAACGACGCAGTTGATCTTGAACTTGATGCCCGCACCGACCTTGTTGAGCTCGAAGATGCGGTCGATGCTCTTCTTGACGGCCTCGAACCCGTTGCGCCGCGTCATAATCGTGAACATGTGCGGGTCTAGAGTGTCGAGGCTCAGATTGATGCCAGTGAGTCCGGCTTCCACCATGCTGTCGAGCTTGCGATGCAGCGACAGACCGTTCGTCGTGAGACACAGCTCCTTCAAGCCGTGAGGTCTCAGCGCGCCGATTTGGTGCATGAGCGGTACTATATCTCGCCGCACCGTTGGCTCTCCACCGGTTAACCGGATTTTGGTAACGCCCTGCGATACGAAGACGGAGGATAAAAGCACAATTTCCGGTGTCGTTAAAAGCTCCTTCATCGGCGATAGCGGCACGCCTTCTTCCGGCATGCAATACACACACCGGAGGTTACACCGCTCCGATACCGATATGCGGAGGTAGTCATGCTGCCGGTGAAATGTGTCGGTGAGAAAGTCAGAAAAGGGTTTCGCGTCCTTGATGAGCTCGCTGCGCGACGGTGGTCGCTGTTGAGCGACTGGTGTGACCTGAGCTGCGGCGGCCGCACTCAAACACCGCGTCTGCGGGGCGCGCCCCAATTGTGGTCTCCAACCCCGCGGCAGGCGTCCCCCGCGCAGGGCAGCGCGAGGTATTATGGTGTGTCTCATGGTGGCCGACTTGCTTGAGAAGAAAGTGGCGATGAGAGGTTAGAGACGAAAGGGAGGACGCAGTGGAAGAGATGGAGAAAAGAGAAAAGGGAGCCGTGGAATGGCGATGTCAGGCACTATTTTACCTTGGTCGTTCCCATTACTGATATTTAGTACTTTTCACAGCAGTGGGAAAGTGAGACGGAAGTTTTCAGATCAAAACGGGGTTGAGCAGGGGTTATTGAATTGATATGCTATCATGGTGATGGGATTACCATCTCCGAAGTCGTACTAAGAGATGTGAAGAGGTGAGTCAGCAGAAGCGTGGCGATTACTATTTGGCCGTACTTATTACCAGTTAAAGGGCGTCCACTAGGGAAGAGGAAGAGGGCAGATAATGGAGGGGGGCGGCTGCCGCTGAAACGCACAGATCACCGGGTCTGGCGGAGTTGGGCGAAAGTTCAGCGGGGCTCCGGCTTAGTATACACTAGTAGTGTAAAGAACGAGCGGTTCACGTCGGCGGTGCTGCAGCGCTGAGTTGGCCAGCTCGGAATCACTGAATTAGCGCCATTGTGATTGGTCCCGTGGGGTTACCGCTGGGCGCGCAGCTGCCCACAATCTGTCAGTGACCGGGCCAGTGAACTCCACAGTGCCTTCACTACTGATAGTCGGCAACTTCCACCTTTTAGGAAACTGCCAGGAGACCAGACGAGGTCAGAGCCCCGCACTAGCCCCAGATAGGAAATCATGTAAACAACGTTGGTGACGATGTTTCTTTCCGCTGCGACAACGGCTTTTTTTTTTCCTTCCAAGACTCCACCGAAACCCCCCAGGCACTTACCGGATTCTTCACCGTGACAAAAGGGATACATACCAGCGATCCTGAGAGCTTCTTGCTTCACCTTGTCCACACCTGTCTCAGACTTTCCCAACCTGGACTAACCCGATTTCAACTTCCCTCGGAAGGCGCAACAACATCTCTGCACCTCCTCACCCGCGGCACTAACCCGTGAGTGCCATGCATGATGCATTTCTCCAGGATCTTCAAATGTAAGACGCTCCCTGATCGACATTAGCACTTGACTGACACCTTTTTCGGTAGCATCGCCTCATTGCGTATCAAGCCCTGATGGCACTTTGATCGCGACCCTGACTACAGACAGCATCAGCATCCGGTCCATCGAGACACTAGAGACCATCCACAGTGTCAAGCTGCCATCCAAGGTTGGACTCGCCAATGCTTTTCTGTGGTCGCCATCATCTCGTCGTGTTCTCGCCAGCTTCGCTGATCAGATTCATGTCTACTCGGCTCATGAGCCTGGCTATCATGCGGTCATCCGGAACCCCGCTTCTCCCAACTTTAAGCCTACCTTTGTTCAGTTTGGTTCTTCAGACAATGAAGTCTTGATGTGCTCTTCGTTTGGCCTCAAATTCTCCGTTTTTGACCTCACTACTTCGAAAACAGTGGAAATCGGCAACCCCAAATTTCACCAAGCTGCGGCGGCCTCGCGAGGGTTCGCTCTCAGGCCGGGTTCGGGTCACTTGGCCCTGTTGACCCGTGTTACTGGAAAAGACATTGTCAGCATCCATCATCCCACAACGAGGGAAGTTCAGCGCTCCTGGCACCCGGAGACCGTGGATGCCCAAGGCTTGGCCTGGACACCAGATGGCCGCTGGCTTATCATATGGGAATCCGCAGCCCAAGGGCACAAGATCTTGTTCTACACATCCGACGGCCATTTGTTCAAGACGTGGGCTGGCCCTGCTTCTTTCGAAACTGAGGACAAGCACTTCGATTTAGGTGCGGGGGTGAAGCTCTGCCAGCTGAGCCCAGATGGTGCCCGCATGGCTGTGTGTGACCACACCAGAAATGTGTGCGTCTTGGAATCCAAGTCAGCAAATACTGTGATGAGGCTCGAACATCCTTCAGCAATCATTCCCAAAGATACCGTTCAGGTGCTTAATAGAAATTCCAAACTTACATTCTTGTAGACTAATTTATTGGCAGATTTGGCAAGAGCAAATTGGCAATGCTTCCTCGGCTTCCGCTCACTCCTTCATTAAAGCGACACAGTCTGTGTCTGCCCCGGTTCGAGCGAGTGGTGGAAGCGTAGAGGCCAAAGCAGGTCGCACCTTGGCCGTCTTCGACGCGTCGTCCAGTCTGCTGGCTACGACGTTAGAAGACTGGCCGAGCACCGTCTGGGTTTGGGACGTCGAGTCGTTCGAGCTTCGTGCCGTTCTGGTCTTCCACAGCAACATCTCTGCATTATCCTGGCACCCAACGCAACGTGAGTTGCTTAAAATCACTTGTGAGGGCGACAGCTACATGGGCTTGGTGTTTGTTTGGGACCCGCTGTCGCATGGACCGAAGACTATCAACTTCGCAGAACACCTACCCGACACAAGAGTGTTTGGAAAACCGCAGGTATCGTGGGTTGACTGGACCGGGGACTCCGCCGTGCTTCTGGTGGGAGACACTAAGCATCATCTCATGGTGTCCCTAACCGAAAACGATGACTCTGGAGCTCCGTGGCAAGATGCACAGCGCAATGATTTGACCATGACTACCGGCAAAGATGAGACACAGTTAGACCCAGCTGCATTGGACGAATTCGACGAGGATATCTCCGGATTGGATATGTCTGAAGTCGACGACACGTTCTCCTTCAAAAAAGTCTGATCGATCTCGTGCTGGCCACCGCCTCGGTTAAAGAACGACAACGGGTACCCAAACTCCTGGCCAACCACTCAATTCAGCCAAGCCCTGCCGTGTTCCAATACGGCGATTTTCATTGGTTTCCCAAACGGCTCGGGGGCAACTCCTAGTGCAGCCGGGAGAGCTCTCAGACACAGGATCCCCTACAGGAGTGGATTGGCTTCTGCTAAAAGAACCCTTCTGCTATATGCAATGTCACTGCAGCCATATTCTGCAAGAAGTCCCTTACGGATGTCCCTCAACGTGATTGGTGCTCTGCGCTAGAGTCAAGGCACAACCGCGGTTAGAGGGGAAGAGAAACCTGCATGCGCACTCTCTCCTACCAAGCTAGGTGGTTTGGCGCTTTGCTCGCCACTCTATTGTTCAAGAACTTTCTGCGAACACGTTGTCAATTTGACAGATGGGCGTGGCGTCTAAGAGTAGCCTTACCTATTCTTTAGTTGATCTTCATCTAACTAATGCCAGCGTGCATTGGCTACTGGTTGATAACGCCGCTGATGTAGAGCGTTTCCACGATCAATTCTCTCGGCTGTACGCCACCGCAAGTGTTGCGTATGTAGATGTTCAAACTTGCAACGATGCCGCTTCAGCGATATCATACTTGCAGACAGGAGAGCCGCTACCCAGCGAAAACCCAGCGAAATCGCCTTTGGCCGGCAACTTCTGCTGGTTGAGGCCTCTGCGGGCAGATTGGACAACACCAACCCCTGTCAACGCTCAATAGCGCCTTAGCTTCCTGCCCCAGACCCGAACACTAGTTGGTTTAGAGACAGAACGACCCCAGTCAAATCGGAGCTCAATGCAACCCACCATCGAAAGCTATCTCTAGCTTGCATGGGAACTTTTCTCGCAATAATTACAGCTTATGCTTCAAAACTCTGCCGTCCTACGACCAACCAAACACCAGGTCCGTAGCGCAGATTGGATCAGGCGACTACGATTGTTCTCGCTTACGTGCACCACGGTATGCGGGTGGCAAGCGACGGAAAAGCAAATTGAATTCTGAAGACCTTGCAACGCGAAGAACCCCTTAGCCGTGGCATTCCCATTTTCTCCTCAGGCCACCGGTCTCGGATGGTCACCAACTCGGATGTCCTGCCATGGCGCCGGGCCGCTGTTTACCTAAAAACAAAGACCCAGTTATCAAGCATTGGATTTGGTCAATATCCCTGAAGACGTCCTGCGGCTACAATCCCAGTCGCATCGGGCAAAGATAGCAAAGTCCCCTTTTGGGCAAGTGGCAATATTAGCAGCATGGTCGCATGGTAGGCGTGCTCCGAAGGAGACCTTGCCATGTTGACAAACTTATCAAAATATAAAAAGAATTCCCACTGTTCTCCTCTCGCAAACTCGCTCCACTATTTGTTTTCATCCTCTCTGCGGACCCTGGCTGAAGGGTAATGTGGTTTCTCGCCGGATCTTGTACTACATGAGATATTCTGTTTCGTCATCCTCCTCATTGTCACGCCAAGAACCAGCCCAACCAAAACGTTGGTTTGCATAGCTGAAGGGTTCTGTTGTACTCTGGGAGCCGGTTACCGTGTTGCACATCACTATGCAATCTGCGCAGGTTCCTCCTGGTACTGAAACGGGAATTTTCTATATCCCGATTTGTAACGTGCGTCTTACCAGCTGTATGCCTTTCCAAATTGCTTCTAACGATCTGACACAGCTACCATTCGAGACCAGATGGAAGCCACTCAAAGAGTGGCTCTGCCGGGATTGTGAAGTTGACTATGTCCAGATCTTTACCATAAGTACTTCGGGATGGATTAGAGTCAGGGGCTCATACAACTTTCATCGTGTATGTGGTAGGTATATTGAACCTCGGTTGCATCTGTGCGTTATTTTAACATGCCATCAGGTCGTTTGAAAGAAGGGGTGTTTAATGGTAGACGTATCATGTATGATGACCGAAACATGACGAGTTCAGTCGTGCTCAAGGAGGTTCATGATCCAAATGCAAGTCCCGTATCCGCGCCACTGGGACCTGGCCAAGCTGGACTCGCATCAATCGACCGACATCAAAACAGCTCTTACTCGTTTGGCCCCTTTTATGGAACGCCATATGACTCAGTGAGAGCTCAGGCATTTCACAACCTTTCTCCTGTCAATGATGAACGGTGCTTACAGTGGAATACATCCAGTTTACCCGCCATTCATGGGCATCACACAGCTCAGCAACAGGAAACTTGGTATCCCGATGATGTACCCAGTGCTGGGTTCTTCCCCAGCACATCTACAACATCCTCTTTCGGTTCCTCTGATAAGCCCAAGCAAGTTGTTGCAACGGAGCATAGAAGGATCATCATCAGACGGATAGGGCACAACATTTCAGAGGATCAGATTAGGGAACTCATCAAACTAAGTCTGGAACGCATCACTCCAGTGGCATCAGAACTACAACGAATTGAAATTCCGCGGGGGTCTAGCAACCAGACAAGAGGCCACGCCTTTGCGACCTTCCGTACCCCAGAAATAGCAAGAAGTGTAGCTGAATCTCTGAATGGCAAGACGTGGAATTCTCGCCAGCTCGAGGCGCGCCTCACCAACGAGGGGCTCACTGAAGAACAAAGCAACTCCGGGTCGCAGAACGCTACCTCACGACAGAGCAAGGTTAGTGACGGAGCAAAGAGGAAGAGGCCAACCGACAAGGTGAGAGCGTCCGGTTCTTCGGGATTCAGCATCCGGCCATCCAGCGAACTATCCTCCTCTCGTCTGTTCCAAAACCAGCAAACAACAGGGCCGATCATTGCTGATGGGACCAGCCGCAGGTCTCGATCCAAATCGAAGGAAAGAAAGCCAAAGTAAAGATTCGATCCAACACACGCAGGCGCGGGCCGGGTTATCGGAAGCGCCAACAAGCTCCGTTGGCAAACGAAGCCAACAAAATATGGCGCCACATCGAGAAGGTGCTTCCTCAGGTCTTGGCTTTAAGCAGGCTACGCCGGCAAGCATTGTGCCGTTTTTTAATGTTCACCGCTAGTAGTTTTCTTTTTGGCAATGTATCGAATGTTAGTCGACTGGAACCTGGCGCTTTGAATGTCGTCGTGACATGGGTTATCTCAACAACGACCAACATGCTACTGAAAGAAATTCAATACCCAACCATTTCTACAGTGATACGTACATGTTTAAACTGCTATTACCTTGCTTTCTGATCCTTGGCGAGGCTTTGATTTGTCCATCGACAGCTTTGGGGGGGGGGGGGCTACAAAAATGGGGAACATGCCTGATCAGCCGTCCGGACCATGCAGCCGGAGTTGCGCGGGTTGCATATGTTGGTGCATGCCTTTGGTCCTGTTGGTCGAATATCGGGCCCAGGCGCCTACTCTTAAGAACTCCTACGGCTGGAAAACAAACATTGGTCCCGTTACGGCAGTCAACGCGCGGTCATGATTTGACTTCGTCGTCGAATTGGCCGGCAAACAACGGAGCTTTAACCACGTCCGGAGGCTCTGAGACCGTTAGGAGTGCTGCCAATCTATAGACCGCAATATTGGCTCGGCAGATTCGACAACGAGATGGCGTCAGTTATCAATAGAGAAAAGTGCATCAAGTGTCACAGCCTCGGTTTCTGCAGATAAGAGAGGGTCGGAGACGGACCCCAATTGGTATGTATGTACGATTGAGGTCGCCGCACGACAACGGGCATTTCATTCATTGGCCGTCTCTCGTAACACGAATGGCGCAGCCAGCCGTTGCGAATATACCAGATTGGGGAGGGGGCACGAAAGCCGAAAGATCTGTCGTGGACAATGTAGTATGGGCCGCAACGGGCCGTCGCCGGCCCCAGCCTGGTGCTCAATCTAGCATGTGTCCCCTAACATGCATCAACGGGGAAGGCTGTTGGTAACGACGCGACCGACAACTTGAGATATGCGGGACTAATTACTCTGCACAATCCTACCTCAACTTCTTTACGGGCGAAGCGGGCGGCGCCCACGGAGATGTGAGATCTGCGGGGGGAAAGTTCGCCTTCCGAATCCCCGGGCCGTCTGGCGACGGCAAGTAAGCCATTCACAAAGCATCAGTGACTGAATCTATTTGCTTGAACGGGACCGCGGTATGTCCCGGTGTTGGCAACTCCTATGTATGTTGAAAACCCAACACAGCCCATTCATTCCCATCCCCATGTAACATAACCAACGCACTGTGAATCCCGGTTCATGTTTGCTCGGGGGGTCACTGCCCACATCTCCAAAGTCCGAGGACACTTCTTGTCTCCTTCCCCGGCCATTTTCGCCCATCCACCACCCCCCTTTTCACTCCCTCTCCAGTTCCAGTCATCCGGGGAGGAAAGTCCAGCCGGAGTTCATGCGCGCGCGGCTGCAGATACAACAAAAGCTACTACTACCCCATTCACACCTTCCCGCTGCCCGTCTAGATTCTGCCTTGTCATACAGCCTAGATCGTCCGTCGATCCGGAACGGACACCCCTGACCAGCGAGCGAGCGACAAACACTGCCCTTTTTTTTTTTTTTTTTTTCTCCTTTTCTGTCTTTTCAGCCTAATTGGTCATGTCGGAATATGCATTGAAATTCACTTACCCGCAGACTCAACGCTGGTCCTTATCCCGAAACCATCCACGACGGATTCGTGACTTGGCGAAAAGTGAGGAGGAGAGGTCTTGCGGCTGCAGCCTCCGGGACGTGTGATTATGCAGCGAAATCTTTTGTCTGTCTAGACAGATTGGCATCTATGTTTTATGTTCTGCGGTCCGCATGAATGAGAGATACTAAGAAAACGAGGAACAAGTAAATCCTGTACTGTATCATCCTACTTCCAAGCTTCTCCCCCTTACATAGAAAAAAAAAAAAAAAGGAGGGGGGAAAAGACGGACAATTCCTTGTTTCCCCTGAATATTTGGGGACGAGCACCATGATATCCAAAAGGGACAATGAGCCGGACGAGAATAAAACGTGAGAATCTTGTTTTTTCTACATCTACTTCATGCCCGTGTCCTCCTCCTCGTGCGCGAGGAGGGTGAGTCGGTCGTCTAATGCTAACCCAACGCCACACATTGCCTTCCCCCCCTTTAGTGCCGTGAACGTGCCGCTTCAAGTTCATGTCTTTTGGATACATTACTCATAAAATAATCAACCGCCAAAATCCATCTTTAGAGCAATGCTGGGCTGTCCAGTCGCACCAGTCGACGCCTGCTCCGACGATCCCTGCTGACGGCCCCACCTGATGACCTCATCCAGGAAAGCCTTTTGTCCGTCGCTCATGCTGGCCACGACGGTCCGAAACGCGTTCTGGTCCACGGCCGCCAGCTCCAACAGTCTAGCGCTGGTATCCCTGTATGCGTCCTCGCCTTCCGACGACGCACGTGCGAGGCAGGTAGGGAGCACGAGCGCCATGGCCACGGGGATGCGGTCCCGGGGCACGATGCCCACGTACTGGCTGAGCGAGTGCGCGATCAGCGAGCGGGCGTTCTCGGGGTCCTCCGGCGCCGTATTAGTCACGAATGCGACTAGGCGCGGAAGGAGGTAGCGTGCAATGGTGTGGTCTGCCGGCGTGGGGTTCGCCTGCAGGAGCAGGGATCTGATGCAGTTTGCTGCGATTTTGGCCGTCTAAATAGAGCAGAGTGTTAGTCACTTATTGAACCTGCAAGACATCAAGAAGGGGGGGGGGGGGGAAGTGGGAGGAGGAAACAACATACCATGCGGTCCGTGAGGCAATCAATGACCTCGTCGAGGTACCTTGCCACAAGCGGATCGTTCGCCGCCAAGTGATTCGTGCCGCCGGTAAACAGTATCGTGCTCGCCAACAGACAGTTCTTGACGCACGTCAGAGACGTGGGGACCTCGCGCTTCTGTGCATTGAGATAGATGGAGAGGAATCGACGCAAGCAGCCCTGCACCTGGACGTCTGTAGGCGTCGGGCCGTCGCCGTTGGTCCTGGCGGTGGATGATTTGGTCATGCTTGCTACGAAGCGCTTCAAAGTGGGCAGGGACTGCGGGACAATCACCTCCTGGCAACCTGGCGTCGCGAGGATAGTGGCCAGGATATGGATGATGCAAGCATGAAGATCCGTTTTGATGATGGAAGGGAACACCTCGGCGGCGTCGACGAGGGCGTTCAGAGATGAGCGGATCAACAGCACCGCTTCCTCCGTCATCTGGTGGCGGACGGGCTGGTTTGCTTCCGTTAGGTTGGGCAGCAGGCCAGAGAGAACAAGGACAATGATGCGGGTGAGCTCGAAGAGCTGGTCTATATCGTCGGACAGGTCACCGTCGTCGCCTGAGCCCTTTTTACGCGCAGACGGGTGGGAGACGCAAAGGGCCCTTGCAATCTCTACAATGACACCCTGAACGTCGAGTCCTTCCGTCAGGACAAGTCGGTCAAGGAGGTCCATAGTTTCCGAAAAGATTGCTTCTCTGTAGATGGCATGGCCAGACACGCTGGGGTGGAGAATCTTCTTGAGGGCCTGCAGGATAGCCAAGTTTTGTTCCTGGGTGGCTAGCGAATCGCTTTGTCCGGGACGCGTTGCGAGAGCCTCAAACGCAATTCCGAACAAGACGAAGAAGAAGGCGACAGGCTCATCGCGGTAGTTGATATCAGGTCCTTTGGTGTTACCGTTGGTGTTGAGTCCCTCGGACTCCTTTCCATCCAGTGCATCAAAGACGAATTCGCTGTCCTGCTCAATCAGACTGGCAATGGCGTCGACAAGCTTGAGCCAGGAGTCTTGGTAAAACTTGAGCAGAGTCTCCCGGTTCAGCGCAGCGTAGATCGTATCGAGACTGCCGGACAGAGAAGGTGGCCCCAGGGTCATTGAGATGTCAGGCTCGAAGCGCAAACGAGCAAATTCTCTCAATGACTCGAGCCACAGCGGCGTGAGCGTTCCAATGTGTGGCTTCAGCACGTCGAGCAAGTACTTCTGCTCAGAGCTGGCGACCTGCAACTCGGCCCAAGCTGAGAAAACTGACATCTTGACCATGACTTGCGCGTTGGAGCTGAGACCCTTCAGGTCGCCGATTCCCGCGTTCTCGTTGTCCTTTGAGAAATTCTCGAGGGCGGACACGAGGGTCTTGAGAATACGGCCCATTCTGTCAATGTCCGTGACAATGCCGGTCGAAATGAAGCCGGCGCAGACATTGACCGCTTCGGAGGCAAGCTCAGGAGACGAATCCGCAGCGAAGGCGGGCGTCAACGCCGAGCTGATCTGAGCCTGGTACTGCTCCAGAAGCATCGCCTCCTCAAAGTCAGGATCAGGCGTCCTGCCAAACATCTTGAGGACGGCGCCGATGATCTTGAGACCCCAGACGCGCAACTCCAGCACGCTCGACGTGGACGCGGAAAAGGCCATCCGAACAACATCGGCAATCTTGTTCTGGAGCGCCAACTGAGCGGCAGACTCGCCATTAGTCATTACGTCCTTCGCAATGAAGACGAACATGTCGTTGATGCAGCTGATCGCAAATGTAGTAACCTGCCATCGGAGAGGTTCAACTTCGGACCCGGCCTTACCGTCCTGGTCGTCCTTGGCAGTTCCAGCGGCGGCAGCGAAGCCGGCGACTTCCTCATCTTGCAAGTCCGGCATGCCCCCTGAGCCTTTGTTCGAAGAGTGAGATTCCTCGGTTGCCTTGGCTCTCGTCATCTTGAGCACGTTCTGGAACCGGGTGAGCCATATGCCAGTGTCCGTGAGACAGGTCTGTCGCATCCAGTTGCGGAGAATGTTGCGGATGCCGTCGTGCGTCGGCGTGGTGTCAAGGACCAGCCACAGCTGGTCCTCAAAGCCCTTCTCAGCAGCACCGATAACATCGTTTGGATTTCTCTTCATGATGTTGTAGAGGCCGTCGACAGCAACGTCCCGCAAAATAGGATACTCCGAGTTCAGGTACTTCTGGAGCGTCTTGACATACTCCTCAAAGTTCATGTATCCTGGGGCATACAGCGAGAGATGCTCAAGGCAGCTCAAGCAAGCTCGCTGGACAAGCAGGTCATCCTCTTCCTGGAGCTGGCTGACGAGGTTAAGGATAAGTTCTCGTGACTTGGTAGAGTCTTGCAGATCGGGACCGAGGACGTTGATGAGAGAATCGACGCATCGTGTGATGGCAGCCGTTGTTGACAATTCCATCTCAAGGTTCATGGTAATGGCGGAAGAGATCTCGGGGTTGTGCGTGTCGGAGACGTAAAGCTGTGCCAGCATCCCAAGCGTGCTGGGAACATACCCTGCGAAACTCAACCCAGCGGCATCAGAAGCAAGAGCCAAGGCCTCCAAAGCCCAAAAATGAACCGTTGGGTGAGGATCGTTGCAGAGCGACATGAGAATACCGAGAATCGTCTTCAAGTGATAGCCAGCCGCCATACCACCAACCTTGGTCTGGATCGACCCCAGAGCCATTGCACAACCCGCGCGGGCACTAGGCTCACGGTTGCTGACAATGGTGTCGACAAGGTACTTGATCTCGTGGTTGGTAAAGGCGTTGCCGCAAGCGTTACAAAGTCTCGCGACTGCGGCGTAACCGATGCTTCGAACGTACTGGTCTCCATCAATGACGAAATCACGTAGCATATCCTGGAGAAGCCTCTCCACGGCGAGATTGGTAACGTTACCAGGAGAAGACTGTGTCTCCTTCACCGCAACTCGCAAAGTAGACAGAACCGCGACCGAAACATTGACGTTGATGGCAGCCTTCCTGCCGGGGTCTCTTAGCAACGAGCCGGCTGACATGAACGTCTTGACCTGCTCGAGAACGCTCTCCTGGACCTTGGGCGGCGTCAGCGGGAAGACAAAGGCAAACAACTGAATCGCCATGTTGATAACTTCAGTGGCCGGAGGGTCGGGAATCGTCAGCTCTGAGGTTGTATCACCGACGTAAAGGAGGGACGCGTCGTGCTCCAGAGTACCGCAAACTGGAGACAGCAACAGACGATCTATGGTCTCTTCCGGGCTGTCTTCTTCGAGGGGCGTTCCTTCTATGAAATTGTCCTGCTGTCCTGGAAGCCCCTTGATTTTGAAGCCTGAGATCAAGCCAGTGATACCAAAGCCGGAGTTGTCGCCAACATCCCACACGGTCTCAAACGTGGCTGCGGCATTAGCTATAGATGCGCTGAGAGAGTTGGCAGAGTAGTTCTCCGGGTCAGCAAAGAGCGAGATTGCAATGGTGAGCAAGTTGGACTGCAGCAGCGCCTCGCTGCCGCCGGCTGGGCTAAGGTTCACCAGCTTGATGTAACACTGAAGCACTCGACGCTGGACCATCATGTCGAGGTCGTGCAATTGGAGCGCGGGTGTCAGTCTTTGCGACACATCGTCGGTGATCTTCTTGGATGGCAGCGTTCTCAAGAAGGCTGACGTGTTCTGCAACATTGTTGCTATGCGCTTGGAAACGTCAACCGTCAACAGCCGAGTGTTGAATTGCAGGAACGACAGGATTGATCCCAAGGCGCACTCTCGCACATGTGTCAGGAACGAGGCTTCGAGGAGACTCCGATGAGCTGTGTTGTCCTTCGACAGAGGCTTCGGCAGCGCGTTCTTCCACAACAACAGCAACTGGGAAAGGTGAATCTTGACGAAGTTGGGTCCGAGGGACATGAGACCGCCAATCAATATCCACGCAACCTGGATCTGGGTACTAGAGACCCTCAGTTCCGATTGTCCACTGGACTTGAGGAGATTCGTGGCCATCGTCAAAACACGGCTGTTGATGTCGACCGATCCATGCAGCGGCCTTGCAGGGCTTGCACTGAGGGTAGCTGCCAGGCCGTGGGCGAAGCCGACGCATCGACGAGGAGAGTTTCGCCCGCTGGTAAGCAGAGACAGCTCTCTGCTAAGGCTGTTCATGCAAACCGACAAGCAGGGCAGAAGCTGCTGGGGGCAGGCCAGGACAAAAGCCTTCATGCATGAAGATGCATGCACCTGAACTGAGTAGCTGGGGTGTTGCAGAACCCCGAGGAGGCCGTCTCTGCATGGCTCCGCGAAGTTGTTTGCTGCGGAGCCTAGGGTGTTGATGAGAGAAGCTATCGCGCCGAGAGCTGCGATCAAAGTATGCTTCGTCGGCTCCGAGCGCTCCACCAGAGCTTGCGGGTAGTTCTTGAGAATCTCGTTGATAATGAGCTTGGCGGCCGCAATCTGCCCGGACTCGCCTAGAATCTTCTGTCCAATAATGTCTTGAAGGATGGTGTCGACAATGCGCCTCGAGATGAGGAGTCGGTAACGGTTGTTGAGGATGTTGGGCTGCCCAATCAGATCAATGGTCAAGTTCTCGAGAATCCTGAGATAGTGAACCTCCACAGTCTTCTCTCCGAGCTTCCTAAGCACCTTACCGTAGCACACGCCGATGGCGGCCCTAGCTTTGTTGGAGGTCGCCATCTTCGTATATTGCGTTGAAAGAACCTTCAAGATATCGGCCAGCGAAAGCGCTAGATCCTGCGCTCTCTTCCCTCCAGGAGCGGGGCTACCCGGTCGGGACGTGGGCAGCTCATCATCGTCTGCCACCATACTGGCCGGCGTACCAGTGCGCTTGGGAGGCTTCTTGGTGAACTTCTTGGCCTTCGCCAACGGAGCGCCATCCGCGACACCGGTCTCGGAATATCCTCTAACCATGGCCTCGGCCAGCGCCTCCGCAGCCGCGTGTCTGACCTGAGACGAAGACGAGTCAAAAACCTTGAAGATGGCCGCCTGCAGCTTCTCGAAATCGTTCGAGTTCTCAAAATACGGCGTGTGCCGCACCAACGCCCTCAGGCATCGACACGCGGAGACGACGACCAGCGAGCCCTTGTCACTGGTGGCGTAGCTGCGCGACTGCTTGAAAATATCCCTCGCAATATTCTCGTCTATGCTCCCTTCCACCATCTTGATGATCTTGCCCAGAGACGTAAAAACGGCAGCGCGCAGGCCTGCATTGTTGGACGACGATTTGAGCAGTTTGACGAGCGTAGTGCAAGCAAACGGGTGCAACCCGATGGCACTGTCGCCGGCAGACCCATACACGTCGCCCAGACAAGCGACAGCGGCGTGTTTCGTGCGCGGGCTGGCATCGGTCTTTGACCTAACGCCGGAAATGATAGCGACCAAGTCGTTGATGGTCTCAAAGAGGAGCTTGCGGTCGCCATTGCCAAAAATGTGGGCGAGACACTTGCCGAGGTTGTTCCTGACGACGCGACTCGGCTGGGGCGAGGGGAGGTTGATGATCTGAAAGATCTCCTTCTTCAGGTAGAACTGCTGGGCGGTGCAGTCATCGGCGGACAGGCTCAGGACGTGCTTGGAAAGGGTAGACACGAAGGTGAGCAGGAAGAGCTCCTGCTGTTCGGCGGGGAGGGCCTGGAGCTTGGAAACGTCGAGCTCGGGGGTCGATGTCGCGGCCGAGTCGGTGATGGAAGAAGTTGTCGCTGTCAGGGGAGGCGGCTGTGATGGTGGTGCGGATGGTGCAGCAGATGAGGGCCTCGACGAGGCAGCTGCCTGTGCGGTGTCCCCGTCAGAGCCATTTGGAGCTCCTGTTGACGACATTGGGGACGGTGGTGAGGGCTTGTATGTGTGTGTGTGTTATGACGCCAGAAAGCGCATACACGAAAGGGGGGTTATGTGTTGTTTTCAATGGATTGTGCCCTATTGTCCGTCGAAGCTGTGGTGGAGGTGGGATATTGGGGACAGGTTGAGGGACAACAAGCATGCGGTCAGGTAAGGTACGGGACGGGATGGTGGTCCAAAGGCGATTAATTAGGGGCGCCGCGGCGGCTACCCCCCGGCGGGTCAGCCCAAGTCTTGGGGGACCATAAGTCAGTCCATGACATACCACTTTGAGGCGCTGGACACCCACCTTTCTGTGGCTCAGCCGGGAACTCTCAAGTGTCAAATAAGGTCTCTCAGGGTCTGGACCAATGGAAAGCCACAGCCAGCCGTTCCCGTTGGTCCCACTTAAATTTTGGAGCTCCGACACATTGAGAGAGAGAGAGCTTCCCTCTCTACTTCAAAGCCGCTGTTGCTGTCCGTGTTGCAGAACTGTGTTGGTGGAAACATGACATGAACCGGAGGAGGTAGAAACCCAACTCTCTCTATCCTACCCCAAAACCCCGAACGCCGACCCCCCGTTCCGAAGTACCGGCAGCGACTCCCACCGAAAAAAAGAAGAAGAAAAAAAAAGAGTTCGACAGAATGCGCTCCTTCGCCGCTAGGTCCCTCCGGGACTTTACGTCCCGCATCACCACCCCCGTTCCTAGATCTCAGCCCACCTTCTGCCGACAATGCCTCCGCCCATTGTCGACGACGCCCGCCGCGCAGAGCGGGCACAACAAGTGGTCCAAGATCAGGCATAAGAAGGGCGCCGCCGATGCGCAGAAGAACAACATGCGCAGCCAGCACTCCAAGACAATTGCGCTCTACTCAAGATGTAAAGGCCGTCTCTATGGTTTCGCAATATATCGTCCACTAACCACGACTCGCAGTATACGGAACCAACGATAATCCCCAGTTAGCTGCGGCCGTTGCTACTGCGAAAAAAGGTACCTGAACGGCGGACGAGACACTTCAACCCCCCAACAATGGAGGAGAGACGGCAGTAGCTGACTGGACCAACCTTCCCCCTCTCACAGACGGTGTGCCGAAAAGCGTGATCGACTCCGCCATAGCCCGAGGCCAAGGCCGCTCCGCGACGGGAGCGAGCCTCGAAACCCTGACCCTCGAAGCCATCCTACCTCCGGGCGTTGCGCTCATCGTCGAGGTCGAGACTGAAAGCAAAGCCCGCAGCCTGCAGGACCTGAAGCTGCTGGTCAAGAAGCACAAGGGCACGACCAACACGGCGACCTTTTTCTTCACCCGCCTCGGCCGGGTCGTGTTCGAGGCTAAGGAGGGAGCCGGCGTGGACGACATCATGGATGACGCCATTGAGGCGGGCGCCGAGGATATCGAGGCCGACGAGGAGGGAAACCTCATCATCTGGACGCAGCCCAACATGACCACGTCCGTCGCCAACGGTGTAGGGCCCAAGTTCGAGCTGAAGCTGCTCAGTTCGGAGATCATTTGGTCTGCGAACGAGGACACAAAGGTCAAGCTCGACGGCGCCGAGGAAGCGACGGTGCTGGGCGACCTGCTGAGCGCGCTGCAGGAGTTCCCCGAGGTGCAGGCCGTCTACGGCAACCCGGCCAAGGGAGAAATCCCCGAGGACGCGTGGGCCAAGATTGAGGAGAACCTGGACTCGTAGAAAAGACGATGTATAACCCCTTCCCCGCGGAGGGTGTGCAGATGTACACCCCGGACATCTTCCCTCTCTTCTCTGTTCAAGTTTTACTTTGTTATTGCTTTTTTTTTCTCATTCTTGTACAACATGTAGAACACAGGTATAATACAACAACAACACTATAGCTGCTCTGAGAGGCGATGTTTGGCTTGTAAACGGGGACCCGGAAACGAAAACTGCAATAGTCCTCTTGTCCCCCCCAAACGCCGCGTCCATCTCGTATGACGCTTTCCCAAGCCCATTGTTTTGACATCCCGAACGCCAATATAGTACAGCGCACATCCCCCCGTTTCTCAAAATGGCTTCTCGCCCTCCTTCTCCTTTTTTCAGTCGGAAGAGTTGCGGACTCCGCCATGGATACTCCTCTCTCTTTTTTTTTTCCTTCTCTCGTTCGATTTTTCCGATTCAACTCGTATGATGATCCACCTCGATCCCGTCTCAGCAGCCGGAAATGCCCAAATCGACATCGCGAGACGACATTCACTGCTCCTCGTTCGAAGGCGGGTTCTGCGCCGCGTGCGCCCTCTCCCTCTCCCTCCTCATCTCCTCTACCAGGCGCTGCCTCCGCGCAAGTCTAATGTACTCCTCCTTGATGTCCTCGCGGTCGAAGGGGATCTTGTGCGAGTGTTCGGCCTTGGGCCAGAAATCGGGCACCGCGAAGCGGTTGTCGAGGTTCGTTCCGAAGTAGTACATGATGCCAATGGGGAACATGACATACATGCCGAACTGCGTGGCGCGGGGAGCGTCAGTTGGGTTTGGTGTTGCCTCCCGACGATCTCAACGGCGTACGAAATGCATGAGGCGAATTGGCAGAATGAGAAAGAGGGAAAGAAAAAAAAATAGAAATTTGGGCAACGTACCTTGAAAACCTCGAGATTGAGACCACCCATTTTGAATCGTTTGCGCAGGTTTTTTATGCGTCGTGTGCAAATGCTAAATCAGAATCAAGAGGTGCTTGTGATGATCGGACGATTTCGAGAGTGGATGTTGGAGCTCTCTGCTCCCACTGAGAATCATCTGTAGCGGGATTGGACACCGGGGACGTGCGGGAGGGCCGGAGAGTCGGCGCAGGTTTTTTCCACCTTTTCCGGGGTTTGCAGTGGGGCCCAAGCCCGATCTGACAGAGCCCGAGGGGGGGCATGCGATGCGCCGACGGTAACTCATGACCAAATTTTACTCCTCTTGCCAAATGACATCTAAACTGAAACTCATTCAAATGACCCGTTGGTCGCTTTTTCGCATTTGATATTCATAAACTACGATGATGTTTAGTATGCCATGTGCGAACAATGCTTTCAACCACCGTTCCCAAAAACCCCTCTCCCCACCCAAAGACTCAGCATGCCGCACCCTCCCAGTTGCCCCAGCCTGAATGCCTCTAAACGCCGAAGGATGGTCTATGTACAGACTTCCGGAACTCTACAGTTGGCTCATACCCGTATCATACATGAAATTCAGTGAATAAGCTACGATCCCACCACAGTTATCGCGGTCGCTGAGCCGCCGCTCGTCTCTGGCTCTGTGCTTCCTCCATCATCATCCGTTCTGTCAAGCTTCGAGGCGTCCCCGAAAACAATACCTGCCCCACACTGGCGCGGTAACTGTTCAAATCGCCGTCGTCGACGCCGCTGCGTCCGTCCAATCCACCGATAAAGGTGCTGACATCCCCAAGCGAGGCTGCTTGCTGGTAGATTTCAGGGTTCTTGACGACAGGCATCGTCACAGGACGACCCCTGAATGACCCAACCGATCCAGAGATGAGATGTGCCGGAATCTGTGGCTCAGGCGGCTTGGGAATTGACACGGCGGGTGATGTTGAGTAGAGCGTCTGAGCCACCGGTTGGTTGACTTCGTGTTCGTCATCTTCCTCGTCCTCGTCCTCGTCCTCCTCTTGTATCGGTGCGGGTCGCGCTCGAGGCTTAGGTGGAGCACTGAGACCCTCAAAGTGAAACATGTCATCGTCGTCCTCGTCCTCGACTTCTATTTGCCTCGCCAATGTCTTTGCCTCGGTCGACGATCCTGTCTTTTCCGGGCTCGGACTTTGAGGCACTGGTGTTATCCTTGTGGGCGAGCGAGATAGCGGAGACAGAATAGCCTTCTTATTCGCAAAAGATTTCGGCTTTGCCATGGCGAGGAAGCCATCGTCGGATGAGCTGTCGTCGCTATCATCGTCATCCCTCGCCATATTAGGAATCTCTGGTGAAGCGGGGCTGGTTTGCTCCAGTGTCCGCCCACGCTCCACAACTGGACTCTTTGGTGACTCCCGATACTTGGGTTGGGTTTGAACGGAGTTGTTGGCGTGCAGTGAGCTCTCCGAATCGGACGTGGCCATGCTTCCGTTCTCCTTCTCGGCATCGGATCCTTGAGCGTCGGGGTTTACAACTGTCCAGACCGTATTCGCATCTAAAGGAGCTCGAGAAAGGGCGCGAAGGGCTTGAGATGAAGACACCTTCTTCGGTGGGGGGCCAAGGTCCTCGTCAGGTCCCAACAACGACTCGACAGACATTGACTCCTCCTGAGGTGGCGTAGGTGACCTCGAGTTGGCAAGGGTATGTGACAGTACCAACGAAGGCTCGGATGACTGCGGCGAGGCTGTAGGTAGCACTTCCCCTCCCTCGAATTCGAAGCGCACTCGGCGGGGGCTAGCAGGGGTCTTGGATCCGCTGGAGGTCCGTCGCAAGGCACTTCGGCGCACCTTGGAGTCGCTCTGCTCGGAGGTGCCCGATGAGGTCGTGTCGTCTGTAGCCCGACGTTCGTGGTTCGGGCGATCAGGAGTCTGCGTTGCAGCGACGGACACCTGGACCGGACGACGCCCAGAGTCCTGTCTGGAATTAGGGGGGTCCATTTCGTAGTCGTTAGCAGGAGGCTTTGGGGGTGGCGAGAGGACTGGCGAGTGATTCGTTATGGGCGACGGTTGTGCGCCGTCCAGCAGAGGCAGGTAGCTTGGTGTGAAGAGTCCGTACAGTTCCCTTTCCCTTTCCCTTTCCCGGTCGTGAGCACTGTCGGGAGAGGTTAGGGTGGCAGTCCCGGCATTGGCGACGACGGATGAAGGAGGGGCAGAATGAGTGGCCTGTGACTGCGGCGTCGGAGTGGATTCACGGCGGTCGGGTGCGGTTTCGGTGACCTTTTCGGTGTCGTCGGTAGGCGGCGGTGGCGGTGAGTCAGGGTGGTCTCGTGGTGGACAGAGGGCGGGACTGAGGGCGGGATAATTGTGGTAGGAAGCAGCGACAGCACGGTCGACCTCGGCTTGCAAGTCGTTTGGGAGGTTCTGGAGGAGGTTTTTGGAGTACCTATGGAACTCAGTTGCCATGTCTTGGCGGTAGGCTGCAACCTTGTGGTCGAGGTCGGCTAGTTTCTGATGCAGGTCTCCAATGAGCCTCGTCGCATCGTCCATATCCACCATGTCGCTCAACAAGGCGAACAACGACAGCGGCTGCGGTGACCAGGGGAAATGGACGGACGAGGGTTAGGAACGTGAGCAAGGAGGTGGGCCAATGGATTCCTAGGCTTGGGCATGACGCAAGGCGTCTGAGGAAAAAGGCAGCCCGTCGCGGCGAAATGGTCGGCGGCGTCCAATGTCTGGTTCGGGTGGGCAATTTACGGTTGCGGCCAGACCACACCCACACAAGACAAGGGCAGAGCGAGAGTACGATAAAGCCTGGTGACTAGCTAACTGGGGGGGGGGCCCTGAGGAGGGGGCGGCGGCAAAGGCGACGGCGGGCGGAAGAAAGGCGTCGGGTTGCAGATGAGCGGCGGGTGAATGGGGAATGTTTCTCCTTGTGCTCTGATCTTCCCCGCGGAGAGTTGGGGGTGGGAGACAGAGAGAGAGAGGGAGACAGATAGGGAGAGAGAGAGAAAGAGAGATGAAGTCTTGGAGGGGTGTGTAATTGTTGGCCAGGGGTGGTGGTCTCAGATCAGGCCAGAATCTGGGTTTGTCTCTCTTCGAGGTAGATCAAGGCCAAAGCGAGAAAAATAAAAATAAAAAGTGCGCAAAGAAAGGCAAGCGTGCAAAGGCCGGCCAGGTTCGAGGAGGTCGTAGGAGACAGAGGACACAAGTGACAAGGACCACACAGGCAAATGTGCGCTGAGTTTGTGGTCTGAAGAGGGGACCGATGCACGATGTGGGTTTAATTTTTTTGGGGGGCTGCTGCTGGACGTGGTTGGCGGGCAATTGGAAGGAGAGGCCTAGAACACGCTCAAGATGGTGTCCCCGATCCCCGCTGTCTGGACTTTGGGTCGGTTAGTCGGGTCGGTGGTTCTCCTTCAGTGTGTGATGTGCCCTGGTGGCCATTTAGGGAGGGGAAAGGGAATCTTGGGGGCGCAGTACGTACCGAACGCCAAGCGAACAGGGGGTGGGATGCCCCAAAGCCAAGGGCCCGTTCGGTGCTTTCGGTGGACGCTGATCCTAGAACCATCCATCCAGTTGATGGGATATCGCCTTCCATTTCCAGGGTACGATTGCCAGAAGGACATCACGCACGCACTTGCTCTTCTTTTTTTTTTTCCCCCCCTGGATGATGAATCGTCATGGGGATTTCCCAATATTCAGCGCATGGGCCCGCATCTGCGTATCTGGCCTTACGTGTGCTTCGCCTTCGTCTTACTCAGTATCAAACGAGTAATTAACATGTCCATCGTTCGAGCGCAATGCCCCTCGCTCTCGGGTACCAACGCCGCCCATCTATCAATCTCACCGAAATGCAGGTCGGGGAGGCTTCACGAGGTTAGCACGTGGACAATATCCCCAGCCTGGTCCCGCTGCTCGTTTCTTTTTCCTTTTTTTTTCTCCCCTTTTCTTCTCCTTGGTCTGTCTCTTCCTTTTTTTTTACCCAGTTTCCAGCAAACCTTGGAACCGGAACCTGGCTTACGGGCCAAGTTGGTGTCATAACGGAGTGAGCACCTGGTGTCAAAGCAGATCAACTCATACCCACCCCTCCTCCAATCGGCCATTCCGTCCGTTCTCGACTCATTCTCGAGACTCACATGGATCAAATCTTATGATGCAACTGCAAGCCTTCTTTCATGTGCCTTCTCTTGTAATTCAATCTTTACCCTGTTTCTCCCCCCTTTCAATGCTACCCCTCTGCTGCCTTCGGTTTTCCCACTGGTTTACTGGGTGAGCAGCGTGGTTCTCGCCGTGTGCGGCTGCACGTCTGATTTGATAATCCATAAATTCACATTCCCATCCGCCCATCATTTACACCGTCCAACATCAGATTGTCCAGGACCAGAAGATGGAAACTTAAACCTCCCCGGCTTTAGAAGGGCGGCGCTGTTGCAACGATTGCTGCAACCCTAGAGCTGTCAAACGATCTCGGCGACCGGCAGCGTCTCGCCTTTATACTAAGCAAGGACGCGTGCGTCTGCCCAATCTTCTTGATAATCATGAGATGAGCCGTGCCGCCCACCCACCTTTTAGCTACTCCCCGTCTTCATATCTTCGTATCACAACTTCATACTTCTTGTGCACTTACAACTTAGCGCATGCCAAGCCAACCCTCCGCGAACCCGCCGCCAAGAGCCAGAATCTTGACTTTGCTGATAACACGGGGTCCGTTTTGGATGAAAAAACTAGAATTTTGGTCTTCGGTATGGGTGCCGCGCAACACCTGTTCTACGACATGGTAGGGCAAGGTTCAGGCTTCAAAACAAGCACTGACTGCGGGTTCAAGCTCAGCAAAAAGCCAAAAAGCCAAAAAGCCGGCCTCTCACGAGCGTCCCAACATTGCTTCTGATGCCCCTCTTCCCCAGTAAAAACAAGGTTTAAAGCAGCGTTAGCAGGTCGCCAAGGGGGCTCCTGGGACGGATAACATTGTAGCGGCATTCGCTGAATCAGAATGGGGATGCACAACATTTGGCTTTTCTGCATGCTTTTCTCTAAGTTCCGCCGAGATAAGGTGGAGGGATGGAGGGGAGGGGGGAAAGTAACTTGGAAGTGGGATGTCCATCCAGTCCAATCCAGCGTCATATTGTGTGTTTGTGTGATGTCGGGGAAATACCAGCCCCTCATCCGGCCACCCACCACCACCACCTTCCATTCCCCCCCTCCCCCTCACACACCCCTCCTACCCCCCCTTCCCCCCCCGCCCGTCGCCTGCGGTGGTTCCTTGACCGAGTCCGGCTCTTGGGTGTCACGCGGCCGCTCCCCACGGCGCATGACTGGCCACGCCCTCTCACCGGTCCCGGAATCCCGTGACTGACTCCTCCCCTGTCCCACCCGAACCCACGGGGTCAACGACTTCGAGTCACGGGACCGACGGGAGCAGAGCTGTTTTTTTTTTCCTTCCCTCCCCCTTCTCTGTTCCAAGTTGTTCGACTTTTGCTTCGACCTTGTCCAATCCCATGTCTTGCAGATCACTCGCAGGCCTACAAGGCCCGCGCCCCCGCCAGGAACTTAAATTAACCATTCGACCCGGCTGAATATGCCATGGCATTACGGAGGAAATCGCCTGGTTTCGCTCGCACTTCCCATTGCGCCGGAAGGCAACAAAGCTCGGGGAAATTCCTGACACGCTTGTCCTCTAAAGCGGCGGAGCGGAGGATTACATTATGCCCACGGGATCCGAGTACGACGTCTTGGTGGCGGCCAGCAAGGGGTGGGGTGTTCTCCCCAGGGGCGGTGCACGCAACTTGTTATGCTTAGATTGAGAAATGTTGATGGTCCAGACTAGCTGGATAATATCCTCCGACCATGCATGACAGAAAAAGGAATAATGACAGAAAAAAAATAAAACACACAAACCCCCCAAGGGACAATTCGCGCTTCGGCATCCCCATTGCTTCCCTTTTCGGTTCGCCAGTTTTCCCAGTCGAGCAAACCGAAAGGGGTCTAGACAGTCTCGGTGGCTGTCGCTCTCCCGCTGTCACCGCTGCATGGTGCGGTCATGTTGACGGCTGTCCCGAACCCGCCGTGTCACGCACGGCTTAGACTAGCAAGGGTTCCCGGGCAATAAGTTCCGGCGCCGCGGCTCGCAACGGGCGGCGGAGGGCAACCCTCTAGCAGCTTTTTGCCGGGGTAGTTGCTGCGAACGCGCGGACATTATTGGATCATTACTAGCTCAAGGAAGATTATGAACATGGTGAAGGTCGTCGTACGGATTGGCTCGTCGTAAATATTCTGTCATGCCCCCGGCTTACGGAATGCCGGTGGTGTGGCATGCCTGCATATGCACAGGTTATACTAGATGGATGATGTGGTAGAATTCGACTACCGTACATCTTTGTTGCAAAGATGACGGTGATAATACGCGAACTAGAGACGTAGTGCACTTTACAGATGCCGGGCTAACACCAGCATGCTATCTTACAACGGTTTCCGGGCCGTGGTACACAACATGGTCTAACTGCCGGTCAGTTGATCGACACACCTTAGACTTCTTCACCAAGCAGCACGGCAATCTAATTCGAGCCGTTGGTTAGGTAATGTTTACTGACACAGCTTTCCTCTTACCACTCATGCCTTTGCCATCCCGACACCTTACAGGCCGGAGACTACGTAGATATCATTTCAAGTGAGGTGGCAAATGTAACAGAAACTCAACTTTCTGTGTGTGTCCTATCTAGACCTCCGATTGAGGTTATTCAGAGTCTAATCTGAGCTTGTTGTGTCCCTCATATGGTCACCCAATAGGGAGAACTTCCGCCCAGACAACCAAGCAAGTGTACTAGAGCAAGTATCCACAACATGATCATCCATCCCAAGAAGTCCGTCATCCAAACCTGCAATACCCAGTTCGTTCAGTCACTATCGTGGTAGGATGAGTCGCCATCATCCTGCTCAACATAGTCAACCTCACAACTTTCGATGACAGCTTCATCCTCCTCAACCGCAGTTAGTGCAAGAAGCAAATTCTGGTAGAAGCTTCGGAGCACAGGGCCGAGCGTCTTTCGAGCGCGGTTGTCTGCCTCCGTAACGACGGCACCAATGAGCCCCGAATAATCCTCATCCATAGTGGATATGATACTGTTCAAGTCCTGCAGGATTATCACGTCTAGGCTTTTGATAGTTTCATTAACAGCATTGTCGACCTTGTTAGCAGCATTCTTGAACATGGTGTTTTGTGAGGATTCGACATGGCTCTCCATGATTCCTTTTAGGGCCATGAGAGCACCAACTCCTAGCATATATGTTAGCAAGACATATCGGCCACTCGCAGGCCGTTCTCTCTTACCTGTTTGCTGGGTGCAGATGTCATAAGCGGGTTGCATAACGCCCAAGATAGCAGGATAGAACAGACGACTTGCGTCTCGCTGATTGTTTTTCAGTACCGTAAGATGTTTAGCTGCCATATGCGCCAACGTCTCGTTTTGCCCGGCGAGATGCTTAGCCACAATATTTTGGACTAAATCGCCATTCTCGGCGAGGAAGCGGCGGCCCTTCATACGTTCGTTGAAGGCATCAATCAACTGTTTGCAGGAGGCTGCAAACCTTTCAAGCTTCTCAGGGATCCGCTTGTTGAATACCTGATCCCATTGGTATGCTGTGTGGTTCTTCAAAGGCTTAAGAAGTTCTATGGTTTGTGAGTTAAGAGGAAATTCGTATTATGATACGGGCCAGGGCAGACGAATTCGTACCTTCGTTAAAATCACGAAGTCCAGCGACACCCTTAAATACGCCACTATATTGCGTTAGCACATGTCCAAGGCATTGGTGGTTTATAATCTTACCCGCGGCGACAAGTAGCTCTGTATGTCATAAATCGAAGTCCACCAGCATCAGGCTTCGCTCCCCAGCCTTTCGCGGTGTTGATAGCCTTGGCAGAGGCAAACAACACTCCCTCCCGTGTCCGCTTGATAATGTTCTTCTTGACAATCGAGCGACATTCTTTCATACAAGTAGAGAGAAGTTCTCCGAGTGTCTATGAAAGATTTAGCTCTCGTTCTAACAAACAAGACACTCAAGGCTTACCGTTCCAAGCTTCTCCAATGACTTCTGCAGGTACTGGGTTTCTGCCTCCTTCTCTTGACTTGACAAAGCTGTGGAGGCCATGTCACCGGCGATGAAAAGGTCCATCATGCCCAGCAAGCGAGAAATTTCGCTCATGTGATGCTTGAAATGTCTAACTTGGATTCTGTTAGCCAATTCTAGAGTGTGCTCTCGGAGGGCCGGAATTTCGGTGTCATCAAGGGAAACGAATCCTGCAACGCGACGGTCTTTCTTCATTCTTCCTCGGAGCTGCTGGTAACCGCGGCTGCTGATGCAAAAGACTGGAAGATCTTGTCCAATCTTGTTGTAGTCCGGCTGGTCTGCCTGTAGCTGTTGAGTGTCTTCCTGCGAGTCTGCGAGAATCTCATCGTCGAACCTAAGTACCTGATTAGCTCATCCAAAGAAAGCATTATATAGATATTTAAGTTCATAATACTCACTCCTTCATTCCAAAAGCAAAATCTTGCTTGATTGCTGCGCGAGAATAAATATTCCGCCCCCGGATACACTCCTGATACATGCTGGTCTTCGTGGTTGCTAGGTTAATATTGAGTTTCTTGATGCTAGCTTTGAGCTGGGAGATCTGCTTTCCGATGTTATTTCTCTCATTCTTGATAGTTTTCTTTAATGCCTTCAGCTCATCGACCTTCGCAAGTGTCTCCTCGGCTGTCAGAGGCTTGGAGAGACATTCGGGCTCATCAAGGTCATCGGCATTCATATCTGAGTCGCTGCTGTCTTCCTCTGTCTCGCTCGATAGAGGTTCCTTTTTCACATTTGCAGCTCCATCGCTTTGCTTCTCTAAAGTGGCGGTCTGGCGCTTTCGCTTGCTTGGGGATGCGAAAGGAGCATACGCTACTGTCCCGTTGGAGGTCTGTAAGTGAAGACCACGCCAGGTCTTGAATTCCGAGCTAACCATCTTCTGTCGTATATGAAGGCTTTTCTTCTCAGTCTCTAGTGACTTCAATTCTTGTTTCTTGACGTCAATATCCAATTTCATGGCGCTAGACTGCTGTTGTTCATGTGCAATGAAGTCTTCAATGCCCAAGCTGAAAGCCGCCTCATCAATAGAGATGTCGTCTGCTTTGGTGCAAATGAAGGTGATATTCGTGTACGAACTATCGTACTTCAGCTGCTGTTTGAAATTGTCACCCAACAACGTTTTGGCTGTTTTATCGTCCACGGCCCGAGTGATAGGGGCAACAATCCACAGCCGAGAACACTCTTTGACGTACTTCCCAGCAACGGCAGCTCGAGCAGCGTTGGAGTCGCGACCACCAGGCTAATTTGTTAGTCAAGGACTCAAAAATTCGGGGAAACTTACCAGATCTACGAGGACAACACCGGTTGATAAGATTTCAGACTTCAAAAACACGCGCACAACCTTGATCAACGGCCAAAACGCCATCGTCGGCTCCTTTGGCGGCGTGTCGTCCGCTTTCTTTCCTTGTTTCTCTTCAGAATCGACATATGCTTGTATGCCTGAATAGAACTTGTCGCACTTCTCTTCCTCGACCAAGATTGTGCGCCCGGTCACTTCCCGAACCTTTGTGTAGTTCGCCAGAACAGCAGAGTCTGTTTCCCTCAGCATCTCATTGGTGTGTCCTGGATACACGGCCTTCAAAATAGCATAAGCATTCCCAGCGTCAGTATCAGGATTGTGAATATCCGCTGAAAGTCTACCATCGCTGTCAATGATATCTCGGTGGAGAGTCAGGACCTCCTTAGTCCACTCGGCCTGAGTGATGAATTCGATTTCCGCTCGGTACTTTTTGGTTGAGTCTTCCGAAATATTCCACGATATCTCAGTGATCACTGCAGTGCAGGCTCTCATGCAGTTCGTTGGTACGACTCTCTCCTCGTCCAGAACAGCGTTGATCAAAGAGCTTTTTCCGGAGCCTGTGTCGCCTAGAACACCAATGACGAAGCGTGGCATCTGATTTTCACCTTGCAGCTTTCCGATAGATTCAATCCATTGCTGGGCGCGTCTCAAGTCAGAGATTTCGCACAGGCCTGCCGTAATATCTCCTAAGAGCTTGGTGGCTTTGCTGTCGGCGTCTCTCAACTGAGAGACTGACATCGCTGTCTTTGCCTTCTCTAGGGCTTCTTGAGCCATCATGCTCACTGAGCCACCCTGCCCATCGTCCGGATAATCCATATCGGCTTGGATCTCAGGGACAGAATGCTACCAAGAGTGCAGGGTTGGACTAATACGGTGCTGTGAGATGTAAGCTTCGAGACTCCTGAAGAACCTAATTATGGCAGGGCCATTCACTCAGCTGAATTTAGAGGATTTGGGTGGAATGGAGTAAGAACATAGATAAAAGTACCGTAAGATGAGCAATTGACAGACTGTTCAAATAAGAAAAGGTGGGTAACAAGTGAATCGGGAACAGAGAGAAAAGGCTCAAGAGGATCGTAGATCAAACTGAGCGCGACTCCCAGTCGCCGTCGCGTTCCGAAATAAGAGAAGACTTACCAAGAGCAAGACTTCTGCACAGAGTCTGACTTGCCAATTGAAATATGTACTTCGTTCCAGAAAAAGATTGGTTTGGGAGCCGAATTTGACTTGCACCGGCTCGATATAGAGTTGAGGATGTAGATACTTGTTGCGTCTGCGACTAAGTTGTAGTGCGTGAAGCCAAAGGTTGGCGATGGGGAAAGTGTTACGAAGGAGAGAAAAAGACCATAAACAAAAACAAAAAGAAAGTGGAAATAGGGCAGAAGGCAGGTGGAAGGAAGGAGGTGGGATATTGGAAGGTTCCAACCACTTCTCTCTATAGTAACAGTGGAAGGTACCTGCCTCTTCTGCCTTCCAAAATGGTATCTTCAAACCAGGCAGGATTTCCGCCTCAGGATTCAAATTTCCTTAGACTGTCATTGAAAATAAGTGAAACCTGAAGTGAAGACCCAAAAGAACTCTCGCCAGTTGAGAACTTGTTGTTTTTCACGTGGCAGATCATAATGGAGTGAGCCATCACACCAAGTCCTATGCAACTTTAATAGTATATGCAAACAATGCACTTTCTCCAGCTCACCCCTTCGCTGATGTTTCCTCTAATTCCAAAAGGGGCTTTGATGAGCAAGAGAAACACAACAAAGAAAGGATACGGCAGATAAGTTCCGCAAATCTACGAGAGCGTGGAGCATGTAAAAGACACCGTTGACATCAAGAAGTACACGTAGAGAAAACACGCCTCAAGCATTCGACCTACTTAAGATGAGTGGATCTATGACATACAAATAACGATAAATTGAGAAGGTACTGGACGAAGATACTGTATGGGATATTTGCAGAGTTTCTGGAATCAGGATCTAGGGAATGTCGGATTAGCTTACGTGCAAGAGGCGTCAACCTGTTACATACTATTTCAAATAGTGACTATCCTAACATGATTTTTAAAAACATATCCGAATATTGCAATTTAGCAGCAATTCTGAAAGTTCACATACTGAAACTGTCGGTAAAATGAATAGTTTGCAGTTTCTGTCTTGCAATAGTTGTGATGCATTGAAGTGTCGTTGGCCTAGTGTAGACAGCTTGGGGGAAAACAGGGTGGGGCCAGACCCCATACATGGTGTCTTGTCGTTCACCGCCTTCCTCTTTAGAAGGCCGTCTCCTGGTCGTATCGTGGAGCTGGAGGCACCTTACTAGGTCTTAGCTCCAGCCATCTCCTTGCGCCTGCCACTACCCGTAACACTTGTATAGTAACAACAATTGCAGTTCGCATCCCATCAACAATTGCCGACGGCGGAAGCTTCTCAAAATGTCCACGATCACTACTACGGCCCTGCAGTCGGGCGAACCGCCCATCATCCCCCTCTCCTTCAACTCCAACCAGCCAGAGACAATCCGTCTTTACCCGCTCTCCAATTACACATTCGGCGTGAAGGAGACCCAGCCTGAGGAGGACCCCTCCGTGATCGCCCGTCTGAAGCGCCTCGAGGAGCACTACACTCAGCATGGCATGCGCCGTACCTGCGAGGGTATCCTCGTCTGCCACGAGCACAACCACCCGCACATCCTTATGCTACAGATCGCCAACGCCTTCTTCAAGCTGCCCGGCGACTACCTCCGCCCTGAAGACGATGAGGTCGAGGGGTTCAAGGCGCGTCTCGACGAGCGCCTTGCCCCCGTTGGCAGGATCGGCGAGGGTGAGGAACCCGCGGATTGGCAAATCGGCGACTGCCTGGCGCAGTGGTGGAGGCCCAACTTCGAGACGTTCATGTACCCATTCGTGCCCGCGCACGTAACTAGACCGAAGGAATGCAAGAAGCTTTACTTCATCCAGTTGCCCAAGAGCAGTATGTGCTTCCCCTGGCGCGGCGCCATGCGTCAATGGATCCAGACCTGAAGAAAACCCGCTAACATCCCCGACAGAAGTACTTAGTGTGCCGAAGAACATGAAGCTCCTTGCAGTGCCCCTGTTTGAGCTCTACGACAACACGGCTAGATACGGACCCCAACTCTCCGCGATCCCCCATCTTCTCAGCAGATACAACTTTGAGTTCGTTGACGAGAACGGCAACATTGTGGCGGTTACACCTGGCTCGAGTGCTCCGGAGGGATACGTGCCAAAGACCAAGGTTCTGGCCGGCGATGACACGGATATGCAGGAGGCGAAGGATGAGAACGGCGAGCAGTAGAACTGCAGGTGCGCATAGGCATCTCACGGGACAGGATTGGGCGAGGCGTTCGGCGTAGGTTAAAAAGTATCGTACTAGACCTGGTGGCTGTACAATAGGTTTCGCCTCCATACTTGGGACTATACCATATAAATTTGGTATTATTTACTTCATAAGGATTCGGTGATTGATATTCTTCTAACTGCGTTCCACTACCGGGCTTCATGCCTTGGGCTCTCCCTGAATGGTGGCCACCAGCCGGCGCTGGTGTTTGCTAGCTCTGAACTCCAAGTACCAAATTCCTTGCCAGGTTCCCGTAGCCTGCAAAAAGGATTAATCAGGCGTTTCTCATGCTAGGAGATCCATTTTACTTACCAGTCTGCCGTCCTTGATGGGAATTGTAACGCTTGCGCCCACAAGGGCGCTCTTGATGTGAGCCTATGCCATGTTAGTAATTGAACCAGACCACAGCAATCAATAGAAACTTACCGGCATGTCATCAGGGCCCTCGGCGCTGTGGCGGTACAGCTCCTGGCCCTTGGGGCCGGCCTCAGGTGCGATACGGTCCAGCGCATCACTCATGTCGGCCCGGACGTCATCGTCCCAGTTCTCGTTGAGGCTGAGGGCGCAGCTCGTATGCTGCACGAACAAGTGAAGGATGCCGACCTTGTAGTTCTTGAGTTCCGGGAGCTGGCCGACGACCTCATCGGTGATGAGGTAGGAGCCGCGCGACCGCGCAGGGAGCGTGAACTGCTTCTGGAACCAAGAGCCCGTCATTGTCGCTGATGGTGGGGTATGACGTGGGGTAGACCTGCTCGACGTCGAGGATGCAAGTCCCACAAGTGTGAGAGGAAATTGCCAAAGAAAATGAAATAAGTTTGGGAAGAGGCAGACAATCAAGAAAGTGAGAATGAATAGGGTGGTTGTCGCAGAGATGTGTTGGCGGTTGTGTGGTGTCGGAGACATGTTTGCTGCAGTGCTTGGGAGTGAAAATGGTGCTGGCGGTCCAATCTGGTGGGGCAGGTTCGATGGGTAAGTGAGGTCAGATGAATTGCGAATCAAGGCACTTTGATACGCACAGAGCCAATGAGTTGTGCATCTTCAACTTTCTACAGCAGCCGCCACTTTACTTTACTTTTGCCGCTCTGTTTCCTAGACATATCTATAAGAAAAATAGTTTCTTTGCAATGTCGAAGTTGACTTTGTTCAATGGCGGAGCATGGACAGGTTATTCCAAGGCGTGTAGAGAAATACCGTAGAGAAATATTGGTTGCTTCCCAGACGGGTCAACTGATCCACCTCCAGATATCATATTATGCCCATGGCACAATCTAACTTGCCTCCAATTCTCACTTTCATATGTGCTGGGTGACAACACAGATAGATAAATTTTAATTGCCATTACGCCGCTCGTGACACCGATAAAAGCCAAAATGAAACCTGCTTTCAGAATTGATCCTGCTTTGCCTGGGAACATCTTGAGTGGGTTAATCGTCCTGTAGTGCCACAATACATGGAAAACGACAAGGTTAGAATCCCTGCCCCGTTGTAAAATGTGTCACCTAAGCTCTGGTTCCGAGGAAGGATGAAATAGTTCTTCAAAGCATTGATTCTGCTATATTTACAAAACATCGCCTGTCGTTTTATAGCTCACGGCTGATGCTCCTTTTCGTCGTAACCCTGCCATTGCTGACACCCGCACACATCACAACAATCTATCTATGCGAGGGGGTACGAGGTCTCGGGAAGGGACTCGAGGTGCTTGCGGTGGTGCTCGTTGGCCTAGTCATTCAATTAGTCAATGTCTCCCATACAAATACACCTCGCTTTCTAAGCGGATATAGTTGAAATCGCAAAGTCCAAGAAACATACATAGGGCACGCCGCAGTAGTTGCAGGTAGCGATTTCAGGCTTGTCAGTGTTGATGAAGATTCTAGGGTGTCCGGCAGGACCGCCGCCACCGTCGCACGCAACGACGCGGTTGTGAGTCCACCGGACGGGCTCCTCGTGAACAAGCTCCATCGCTGAGTACGGTTGTGGCTAAGGTTCAATTGGTTAGTCCCCGGCCAGAAACGTTTGTCGTTGAAGCCCAAAAGTGTCTCATCGTCTCACCTGGAGAGAGAAGTCGGTCTGCTCAAATCGGGGGCCGGTCATGGCCTGAGCTCTGGGCCTCTGGCTGCGCGACCAAACGAGGGCTCGGTTAGGGGCCTGGCCGACCTCCTTGGGAACGGTGTTGTCGGCCGTCTGGGGGGTGACGCTCTCGGTTTTCTCGACGACGGCGGGTCTCTCGGTCGTGCGGGCGGCCGTCGACACGGTGAAAGGGCGCGAGGCAACGCGAAGCTGCCGCGACAAGGCGCTTGTCGCTCTTCTGGATGCCGACAACATCGTGCTGGCTCAATTGGGTATACGGTTGGAAGGGACGGGCGATTCCGGCTCACCAGATAGACGGTTTCTGGGGAAGCTTGGAGTTCCTGAAGCAATTGATTACACCTGCTGTCATTCGTCGGGAAGAATTATACCCCGTCAGCCGAGGCGGTGGGCCCGCTTTGGTCTGCATGTGCGCCCAGAGCCCCATTTTGCCAATGTTAGCGTGGGAGGGATCTCAGAACCACCACTTACAGGCCTGAAGTTCATTCAATTGACTTGTGTGCAAATTGCCTGTGTCTTGGTTGAAGTAACTATTTTTATTTCTTCTATGGATGATAGATGAAGTCCTGTGGTTAATAATCCCTTGGAATGAACCTAGAACCCCTACAGCGGCTTCCTTCTTTCCTGCTACAGAGGAGCCCCTATGACTGGAAGTTGTCAGTATGCATCTATCATTCCTAAACAATCAATGGCCAGCTCCTCTGCTTGAAATAGCCGGCTGGCATCCTTAACAGAGATGTCAGCTGTCGAGGCTCTTTTCGGTACGCTGATCTTCTTACGACGGCCACCGTAGCCCAATGACAACTGTTCCGAAGGTCTAGATTAGGGGATAATTTACCTCAACCAACAACTGGCAATAAACCGATGCAACAATATAAAGAGACTCGAACACCAATGCTGAATTAAAGCTCTCTGTGATCGTGTCGTCGGCTATAAAAGTGCAGTAACTTGTGATCATCAGACCTCTGCGACTGTTCAGCGAGCTTCGTATCATCTGTACAACCAAGGCACTAGTAGTAGTTCCTTCAGTTTTTGAAAGCCATGCCGACTACGCACCGAGGTTCGAAGCCACACCGCTTTTTCTGTTGCCCTCGCAATGGCGTTCTGGCAACGGTAGTAGGTCGAGTCCCTCCTCAAGCGCCAGGTTGAACCCTACAAGGATAATTGTATCAATAGCAATCATCATGAATCACAACACCTTGGTGGTACTTAACGTATTATTATACTTCTATGATAAATGAACACCCAAGCGAGGCTTGAACCTTCTTTTCTTGTCGTAGGAACACACACGCATTTGAATCACCGATAATACCAGCAAGTTTACGGCCTTAGACGATTAACCATAATGGGAACACATATCTGGGCCAATTTCAATTGGCGGTTTTTAGCCGAGCCTGGTTATTTAACTTGAAAAGAGTAGTGTATGAAACCAAACTAAATCGAGTCAGACCAACGCAGTCACGAGTTTCGGGTTGTAGATCAAGCTTGTATTCAGTCCATTTACACCGTTCGCTACATAGTTCGAAACTTATCTACTTGAGCAGAACCAACTTATACCTCCGGCACAGTCGCAGTCGACTTGATCTTCCTGTCACCAGAGTCAGCAGGATGAGACTCCACTTGCTCCACGTCCTTCGGCTCTGCTGTCTCGAGAATCGTCTCCATGTAGGCCTGTCTCTTTGGTCTACGAGACCGTTAGCACGGGCTCGAACTTGGGTCCAAGGTCAAGAACTTACAGCAGATACTTTACGTCGATGTAACGCAGCACGCACGTCATCGTAATGACGAGTACTCCGATGGCAATGGCCGATTGCCAGGCATACTTGTCTAGGAATTGTCAGCTGATGAAAATTTTGAGGTCTCGCCAATATAAAACATACAATAAGGAGCTTGAACAGCAGGCCAGACCAGGACTTGAGACCATGCGGAGATGGCGTAATATCCGGCAATAGACACGCCGATAATCAGCGTCCTCGCCTCGGGGTCATGAGGTAGCAAGTCGGCGAGCCAAGCAAAAATGAGCGGCGCAGTGCCCATCGCGGTGAAAGTGAGGAAGTAGCACGCATAAGCAGTTCCGAGCGGTGTAGTGGTAGGGTAAGTCGTCCAAACGCTCATGGCAATGTTGCAGACAAGGCCGATTACAGCTGTTGCATTGTTAACATCTTGACTTCTGTGGTGTGGAAGGAGAGAAGAAGGGCGTGTTACCTTGGACAATGATGAGTGTCCACCGCGTCTGCAGCAGATCTGATACGATGGCCCAAACCCAGACTAAATCTCCTGATTAGCGCTCTGTAAGACCGAAGCATTTAGAAGAATTATACTAACCAAAGACTACATTGATTGCGCTGGCACCAATGGGGATGGCGTTCACCTCAGAAGTTGTCCATCTGGGGCTGCCATCCGCATTCTTCAAGCTTTTCAAAAATAAGTTGAAGTAGTTGCTTCCATATGTTTCAAGCACCGTCGCAATGTAAAGAACCGGTAGGAAGTAGATAACCCAGGTCTTAAACGCCCGCCTACTGTGCGTTAGTCACCTGGCCCTTTTGCTGGTACACGGGACATACTTAGTGGCGGCCCAGGTCATCTTGGAGGGCTCTGCCTTTCCATGACGTTCGAGTCGTTCCATAGCCAGTTGAGCGTGCCCTCTCTTGAACCAGAATGCCCGTGGGTTAGGGTTGTTGGGTGTATCAGGCAGCAAAACGAAACCCATGGCACCGACCAAAACGGTCATAATGACATTGATAATAAAGAGCCAACGCCAGCCCGGGAGGCCTTTGATACAAAGTCAGTTCAGCTTCTAGGTCGAATAGGAGCGTTCATACCGTGTGAACCATCCATGGAACTCCTGATGGCCACTTGCAACGCGCCTGACATCATGGAGCCAACTGCTTGGCAGGAATGGTAGAAACCCATGCGCTTAGCTAACTCGGACGGCGTGTACCAATGCATCAGAAGTGTCATCATGCCGGGCCAAGCACTGCTCTCGCAGAGGCCGAGGAGAACACGCAAAACATAAACCTGCTGCGCATTCTTAACAAGTGCGAACATTCCCGTAATGATGCCCCAGCAGACTTCAAGGCCAGAGAGCCAGTAGCTTGGGCGCACGTAGGTCAAGATGACTTGAGAAGGAATGAGCATGATGCAGTAGGCGATGTTGAAGTACGTGGTGAAGCTGAAGCCACGAGTAAGTATAACATCTTCCAGATGAGGGGTACTGCTAATACGAGAAAAAGAAAAGAAGAACCAACTAGTTGTATTCATTTCCGTGGAGATTGAGATCTTCTTTCATGCCAGAAACGTATGCGTTGGTAATGTTCGTCTGGTCCAGGACTTATAATGTCTATCAGCACTTTTTATTTACTTCACAGCTGACTTGATTCCAAGACTAACACTTGATGACTACAATTTGCGTTAGCTAGATGTCTATTGGCAAGTTGTCAAATTATTCTTGCCTTGAGAAATACAACCGAAGGTCATGAGAAAGATGTCTAGACGCCTTACGAGGTTGGCTTCCTCCGGCGTCCGCTCATGGCGCGCCGCCAAGGCGAGGTTGCTGAGGCTCAGTTTACCCATTGCCTTGGATTGAACGAAGAGGAGTTTACACGGAAACGAAGAGAAATTTTAGAAGGAGAGTTCGAGACGACTATTCTATATACACTTTCCCCGCAATAGCACCCATGGGGCGTCTAACAAGATCGACCCTGTCAGAAATCCTCGGCTATAGCGTTTCTATTGTTTATTGTTGGTGCCCCGGGTACTGTTGCCCTTCCGTTATCAATGGTTAATGACATCCAAACGTTACGTTACTCGAGTGGAGTTTGCGCATGGTAGGAGCAGAGTTGCATTCGCGCACAGCATGGAGAAACGCAGGCCGTCTCCTCATTGGAGCAGCTTCCGGCGCTCCTGAATCGGCGGTCTTCCGACAATGCAGACCCCGTACGATGCTCGGATGGAGTGGAGTCATGTGCGGCCTGTAACTTACTCGTTGAAAAAATTAGATATGGGGTTTTCCGTCTTTCTACGGTCTAGTTTCAACATTTAGCCTCCGTTATGGATACGGGGAAAAATGGACTGTTCCCGGTGTCGCTGACAAGGACCGGTCGTGCGCCGCTCGCTGAACGACAATCCCTCCAGCTTTGACTATGCTGATCGCGCCCGTAATTCGCCGTATACTTCTCATTATGAAATACGGTGAGAAATTTTTTATAAGCTTCCCTGGCCTATCTCAGCCCGGATGGGTTGATGGGCTAGGCTCTCCCCCGGAAGTCGAAGAATCGCCTCAAATGCGGTTAGTCGTTGGCATACCGTTTGTAATTGTGTGGGAAGATTGTGTCTTCGCTGCCAATAGACTACGAGCAAGAGGCTCACTTACCACATGGATAGAATTTTTGTACTCGCAGCCATGGGATAGATGACACACTACTTGAGTCACAGTGAAGGGAGCCGGTGACAAGGACTTCAGGGTAATGGTATTATCAGCTTGGAAACTCTGTTACGGTAGCAGCTTTCAAGTTAATTAAACCCGGCGGGCCTGAATCGGGTATTGTAATTCCCGAAGCATGGAAGGCAGCAGATGGCCTGGGCTGTCGAGCGTGGGCGAAAACAGTACGCATTATGTTTTCTTTTACGCACAAAATAGAAGCTCCATGATGAGGAGAGAACTTGGAAATGGTAAAGAGTTGATTGCTATGTCCTTCATGTTGTCAATAATTGTGTTGACGAGCATGGCTTGCAGCGCAACTTGAACCCCAAAATACACACCGTGGCTGCTTAACTGAAGAGTATGCTATTCAAAACGCCAAAGGTCCCCGAGGAGTACCAAAAGGCGGATGGTAATGAGTCACACAGCACGACCTTTTTGGATGAGAAGGCCACAAAAGGGCTGGAGCTTAAAGCTTTGCGTGCATACGGATGGCCAGCCGGCTGAATTCATGAAGGGTTGTATTATGCGTAGGCGGCCATCATAGACATTACTCTCAACAGGATGTCATTTGCCGGCTAGATCCATGGTTCTCCAGGATAATGGAATGTCATCAATCTCAATGAGCATAGCAATTTGTTTGTTCGCTTTGAGTTAGACGATGTAGTTCAGACGAAGATGCCAAGAAACAACGTTAAAAATTAACTATTGTGATACGGATGTGGAGGACATGCGGTGAGAGCCTCATGCCCCGCGCCAGTTGTAGAACTGGCGAAGGCGTTGGGGTAACAGTTGCCGGTTATGATAATGATATGCTTTTGTCAGCGCATGTTTCTGACCCTTATCTATAATATAAGGCATCACTTTTAAGTTAACGGTGAATAAATTCAATAGCAATGAAGATCTCACGTTCTCTCAGATAAATCAGCCAGGCGAACTCTGTAGGTTGTATCCACCAAGTACGCACGGTCCATGAAGTGCACTCTGTAGTTTAGGCGGTGACAGCCCACTTCTGCATCTTTCACGGCAGAATTTCCAGAATTTTGGATTGGCTGTCTTAAACCAAGGATTCCGATCGATCACCTTACTTTGACTACGACACCGCGTCGCACTCTCACTTACCCCGTTCTTTACTTACTTTTAACTCTCCTACGGTCTTTTTGGCACGCGGACAGAACCTCGCACTTTCAAAACACACACAAATACCATCGTGACCAAAGAGGGAACTACGTCACAATGCCTAACTTGGCCCCCGAAACTCCCCCAAGCAGAGGGGTCTCCTCTCGCTTGCTGACGATGAAGTTTATGCAGAGGGCTGCTGCGACCGGTTCTCCCGCGGAGTCATCCCCTGATGAGCCCTCGTCGAAGCGGCGCAAATTCCAGAACTCCCCCCTCACCGGCGACTTCCACTCCTTCGACCAGACAGCTGTACAGGCAGCTCTGAAACAGCAAGAAGCCAAGCGCTTGTCGGCACTTGAGGCGTCGAGGGCCGAGTCCGCAGACACACACTGGGTATTGGATGGCTCATGGGGCAAGTCGGAGGATGCCAAGAATGCACCGCCGAATATTGTATACGTCGGGTATGCGGATATAGATGGAGCCAACGAGGAGGATGATTCAGACAACGCCCAACCTGTCGGGAGAAAAAAGATTGGAAACTTCAAAGGCAACGGAGCCAAGGTACGATTCGAGAGCAATGGTTTGGGGGGTGGAGGATACGCGCTAACTAATGGAGCAGAAGCCAAGCACCGAAGCTGCACCGCAGGATGAGAGCGATTCGAGCGACTCTAGCGACTCGGATGAGTCAAGCGACGAGGGCTCGTCTTCAAGCGACATGGATACACCTTCGTCAAAGTCGACATCTAAGCGAATCGAGGGTCTGTCCTCGGGCGGCCAGGGACGTACGAGGGTGAACCTGAAGCCGAAGAAATCTACCGAGTCGCTCAAGGCCCAGGAATTCCGAGACAAGAGAAGGAAGAAGGAAGTGAGGCTGAACCAACTGTCGTCAATCTCCGGTGGCTTCTCAAACAGCCCCAGCGGAGGCAAACCGTCTTCCTTCCCCATGAACTGCCACAACTGTGGCAAGGCAGGCCACAAGGCGGTGGACTGTCCCAAACAGCGACGAGACGGTAAGCGGAAGCCATCACAGAGATCGCATTGAACTTGGATTTTTTTTGCGAGCAAGAAACAGTTTGTTTTGGTTTCGAGATACCCATATTGCTTAAGTAGGGCTTTTGCGGTTCGTCAGCTCTCTTTTGCTTGACGGGGGCCGTGATGACGGAGCCACAACTACATCCTATGATAGACCAGAGAGGGGCTTGATGCGCGGATACGAACGGCAATGCAGAGGCATGTCGTATGTTATGATACGTTACGTAGATGGGTATTGGCGGGCTTCATAGGGCCTCGACGGGCCTGGTTCGGCCTGGCAATTTCAGATGGAAAAGGGGGGAAAAAAGAAGAGATTTATTGAACACACCTGTAACCTGCGTGATCGTACAAAGCTTCAAGCTCTAACAGTGACACCGCGCATTTACCAACAACCGTACTCGGCAAGCGTCGCTGGATGGAACCATGAGAAAAGGCGTCAAAGCTGAAGAATCATACCAGCAGACACGCCAGCTTGGCCGCTACACTTCATACCCGGGAGGGGGTCAAGCATACTACAACTGTCAACGCTAGCAGACACGATGGCGTGGCACGCTACTACTCGTTGAGTCGGACATCCCATCGGTTCTGGGATGACAGAAAATGCTCGTTGGACGACTTCACATCTGCTCCGCAGGGGGTCTGCGGGCCCCGGCCAGTCACCTGTCCAGAACCGCCCAGAAGGTATCCGTAGAATCAAACAAGTCCTCTCGCCGCCTCGGCCCATCACTTGATGGATCCAGGCCATCGCCTCGCGGGTCAACAGGTCGGCTGGAAACTGCCGATGTAGAAACAGGAAACACCACCAACCCTGTCGACACGTTTTTGTTTCACTCATCTCGATGTGGATCTATTGTATCGATCCCCGTTTCTTGGCCACCTTCAACGGCGAACTAATGAATTGTCGACCCCCTGGACTTACACACAGCTTCGCTCAAAAGGGCAAAACGGGGAAGCTCGGGAGCATTAACCCCCCCGGACAACTAGAGAAAGACTGTATGTCTGGTGATGGGCTGACCAAGCGTTACCTCGGCTTCTCAGGGGCAACGGACGACTGAGGGGTCATCTAATATCATTGCAACGGTCGTCCGGCGTTTTGAGGAGCGAGATTACATGGTGTTGACCATGAACGAGCCAGCCGCAGGATGCGCTATTGCCTGTGAAGAGGAGATGGAACATTCGATATCGACGAAGGATAGATATGTTGGAGCCAGCACCCACTGCCCTGTTATACGAGATGAGGCTTGCCGTTTCTGGTACCTCATCGCCCAACTCCCTGAGCATTGGTGCTTTGAATAACCGGAATGACGAGTGAAGCTCCAGACTTTAGCGAGGCACGGACGGATATCGCTGTTGCGACGGATTGGCATCGACACATGAATTACTCTTTCAAACCGATAGGTAGCACTCTGGTGGTAGAACGCGCGGTTCACATCGCAGTCGTAAATTGGACGCAGGAGGAGAGCCAGCAATAGTCCAGGATTCGAAAATGTTTCAAGGGCTTACGGACAAGGGGAGCTTTGCTTGAGTATCTCGCTTCTGGTGATGTAATCTGTGCAAGATTGAAGACTTGCACGCAACGGCTTGGCGGCCACGAGATTGAGGCACACCGGTAATATCAACACCCCGGGCTTGAAACGAAACAGTGGGGATTTGTTTCTTCGGGACAAAGTCCCGAGCCATCGGAATATGGGTTCCACCCTGTTTAATTCAACCCAAGGTTGGCGATGTCTTCCTACAGACCTTTTGTTCGGGCCAATCTACCGGCATCCTGGCAGCCTCTTGACTATTAGCTTTCGGGGCAACATTACTTTCCGGCCCGTTATTGACCGGGCCGTGTATGAGGTGGAAGGAGTGGAACCACCGAGACTGGGACCGGAAAACTGGAGCATTGCAGGGGGGCATGATCGGTAAATCGTTCCTCGTACCGCATGCTGCAGGGCGCGATGGATGCTAGTAAGCTGCACCGGCAAACTTTAGATATCATCTCCTCAGACGACGGAAGCGCAGGCAGCGAGGAGAACCCAACGAGGCGGCAGGTGCAATTGGCGCGGCGTTCCAGCCCCAGAGCAGGCATCTGATGCACGTAATGTCGTCAAACTCGACCGGGAACGGTTCTGTTTCCTTATTGAGGCTAGCGCGGGTGCATCATCAACAGCAGCGAGGCGAGCGGGACACACGGCCCAGGAGTAACGGTGGGAGGGGTTTGAAGAGGAGACCCGCGTCAATTATGAGGAGCGGCGGGCGCCCTGATGGCTTTGCATCCCAACAGCGGTCAAGGACCTCGACGGGCGGTCTGGCGGTGGGCAGGTTGTGTCTGTTGCGGGTTCAATCACTTTTCTAAAGTGGGCAACGGCCAGGAATGACTCGTTTGCAAAGCAGAAGCGATCGGCAGTGCGAAAAGACCACACCGAGAGGCTTGAAGGATATTGATATCTCCTCGCCGAATAATGAGATATCGGAGTAGTCTCCGATTAGTGACGTTCCTATTCTAGCTGTCTCTTCATACGTCCCAGATAGTGCCTGACCGTGCCCGAAACGGCGTTCTAACAAGGTTACTGTTGTGTCGGCCTGGTGGTAAGGAAAGACGAGTAGAAATGATGGCGGGCCATGGTTACATGACCTGCCTTGCCGGGGTTTGTGCGTGAGCTATGCATCGAGGATCTGCTGGACGGAGAAGTGTTGTCTGGCTTGAAGTTGTGGGACGACTGAAAGAGCTTCCCTCCTGCAGGGGAAAGCCCAAGATGTGGTTGAATCACGGGGCTGTCCTCCTGTCGAGATGAGAGTCAGTTGGAAAGTATAATCGATGCAATCTTGCCAGAGTCCGTATATTGACCAACGGCATTGTCCTCATCATCCTCGTTGTCGAGTAATGAATGCATTAACCTGATATCGGCGCCCTCGATCGTTTCCTGTACCGTGCGTTTTACAGATGATTTGATAGTGGAGTCTAATCGGAACAACCCTTAAAATGGCAGAGTCTGCTTGGTAATTAATCCGAGCAACGACGTGTTTCTGACTACGAAGTACATTACAAGAGAGCACATGGTCGCTGAGTGATACAACGATACGTACTAAGAAGCCGTTGAGTCAGAGATTACAAAAACCAAATCTAATAGAATTACATTCTATTAGCCGCTCCTTGATTTTTTCCCCCTTCCAACCTCACGTCTTGCGAAGCATGGATAATTCCCTCCTCTAATCTGTAAAGTACTTTGAAACAGAGTCCCTCTCATCATCAGGTCAGGTACGCACATACCAGTTGTAGACAGGAGGGGTTTAGTCTGTATGCTTGGCATCACCCCGGAATGTGGAGGCTAAGAGCTCGTCGTTAGCTCCTCAGCAACAGGCACAGGAATGCAGTAAGAAAGTGATCATCTCGCTATGACCTCGAATGAGATTGTATGGAGACCTCCCAAGTGACATGTCTCCTCTCTCCTACCAGAGCATGTAGATGAGCCTTTGACCGTGCATGAGAGAAGCATGGCATCGCGCCAGCCGGATCGAAGCCGATGTGTTGGGCTTCAGGGGTAACAAGGTCCGCATGGTGTCCTGCCTGTCTGGCTTACAATGCTCAAATAGTCAATCTGCGTCTTTTACTCCAGCAGGCCAATACAAATGATGGTAGTTTGTGGCGGGGTGCTAATGTACGGCATGAGAATAGTGTGGCGGGCCAGGTTCGTCCAATGCGCATGGTAGAACACCGCCCATCCATGCATCAAACTGTTCGCGCGATCTGTTGTTGAAAAGCCTTACCTTGCCCCAAAAGGTGAGGCGAACATAACTAAAGGGCTTCAATAGCCTTGATAAAACAGCTTTCGTATGTGCGGCCACCGCTCAATTGGTCCGTCACCTCGACATGTCCCATGAGACAAGCAACATGGACAGAGAGCGCTGGTCGTTAGATTAATGTACTATGGTGGCATATACTCCGTACACGTTGAAGTATGTTAGGCCATGAGGGGGTTTTTTTTTCTCTTTTTTTTTTTTTTTTCCTATTTTTTATCTTATCTTTTTCATTCTACCTTCTTCATTTCCTTCTCCCTTTTCCCCTCGTGGACAGTGTTCGTGCGTTACCTGCAGTCAATGTAGCCAACTTAAACGTAACTCAACGACGATTTTCTTTGCCTTTCACATCACATCACCATGAGGTAACCTGGGTCCAAGCTTCTCTTTGGCACCTGGCAGTTGAGCTTGCCCGCAACCAGATTCTCGGGAAAAACGCAGACGGCGCAAGGGACCTCCGTTTTTTTTTTTCCTGCCCTCCCTAAACAAGTAAAAAACAGTACCCTGCTTGTTTGATTTCTTTTTCGGCGTTGACACCCGGAAACTGCAACACACCGGCTCTCATCCCCTGTCACCGTCTCGCAACACGTTTCTCCCGTTCTGTCTCAGTTCTCCGCCAACGTCCGGGACGGGACAAGGGTGGGCAGGGCCTCGGATATCAAAAACCCTCACAGACGGTTTTTGATGGATCGGCGGTAGAGGTTCGTATGTTGAGCCTTCCACTGGGCACCATCCGCCTTGCCTGTCCCTCTCAGTTGGCTTTTCACTTTTAACGTCATACAAGTCATAAGAAATTGGACCATTACGAGAAGGCTAAGCGCCACGGGAGTGAAACATTGGGTACCCTGATGATTGGCTTATAGAGGGACTCAAATGCAGGGCAGAGTGGCAATTTGGGGGACACATTTGACATACAGCGGGCCAACCCGTGTTGAGTGTTTTGCTCTTCCTTCACCCACCCCTTGCTGGGCTAGAGGGAAGCAGTTCATGGGTGAGCGAGAGGATGGGGGGACCAAAGGGACATAGGATTCGAGTGAGCAAGCCGGGCCAAGAATGATGGAAGAAACAACCCGACAAGCCTGTTCCCCTGCTGGCTCATCAACAGTTACTTTTGCTCTCCCCTGTCGTTTATCCTTTCCAACTTTCCCCAGGCCGGTCCGTTCCCGAACCTCCGCGCCATGAAATTTCTAAAGACTAATCAAACTATCGTGCGTTTCGACGTGCCGTATCATCCCACATTGAAAAGATGCAACAGCCAGGCCCATGGAAGATTGTCTCTTTCAAAGTAAACACCCTCCCCCCCGGGAGGCAGGCGTGTGTGCAGGACTCCCCAGGGCCCATGTTATTCCACCACGGGGATTTGTCAACGCGGCCAATGCTGTATTCCAATACCGAGGGTGAAATTTGATCAGAGTACAAGTGATCTCTTACAACCCTCATGGTTGTCAGGTCTGACCTGTACCCATAAGAGCGCTGCACATATGCGCTGGTCGTCGCGCTCCGGGCCCCTTGTTCGTTACCGAGGCCGAGCCCGTTCGTCATCCACACTCACCCTTGGGTCTTTGGCCTCTGACATTAACAGACCGATAATATAACCGCCAGGGAAGGATAGTGGTGCCAATCAGTTCCTTGCCACCCTGCTTGCCCTACCTTGCCCTGGCCGCAAACCTGCCACTGTTGTGGTTGCGTACATAGTACAGTAGCGCAACTTGTTTCAAGCTGACAAGCCGGCCTCTTTCCACGTGGAGCTCTGGGTGTCGGGGTATCCCAGCGGAGAAGCACAGGATGGGGAGAGTAAATCGAGGCCTTCCGCCGGGGGCGGGCAGGGCTTCATCTGACTGACTCTCTCACCTGGGTGTCAGGGGATAGACAGGGGAAGAGGACGGGATCTCGCTTCGATATTTCAGCTCCATGTCCTCATCTCCAGCCTCAATTTCAGATACTCTCTCACATCTACCACTCATGCCCTAGGGCGAGATATATGAGCAAACTCTCGGTTACCTGGGTAATGTATGAATTCCACACTAGACGGCTCGTCACGGAACAAGAGCCACTATATGTTTCAGGGCCTGGTCGTCATCTCGCCGCCTTTGTGTGTACGTACGTGTATGTGTGCGTGTGTGTGTTTGTGTGTGTGTGCCCTGACATCACGTCTTTCAGCCATAGAATCCATAAGGTGTAGCGGTACTTTCGGTAGGGGGGGAGGCCCATTGCCGCGATATTACTTTCTCGCATACCAGTCAGTCAGTCCAGTCAGTCAGTTAGAATCAGTAGCCCGTCGTCGCACATTGTCAAAAGTCACCACGCTGTCTTGACGTAGCAAAACCTGTCGTCATCTCGAACTATGTGCCCCTACATCGGCTTCTTTCTCCTTGCCTCTGGGCAGCTCAACACAGCAAAACGCCTTGCATCTGCCGTACCCCGATACAGCCTACCGTCGACAGGCCTCCAGGCACCGTTCCAGCGATCAGCAGCCCAACTATCCGCTTTCGTCTATCGTCTCTGGAGTCCGTCTAGCTGGTACCCTTGAGTCGCACAGCGGTAGCGTCCCTTGCGTCCCCACACTGAGCACAGACCCTTCCTGGCCTGCTGCTTCCAGGTTCTCTCTCTCTCTCTCTCTGCAGTTGGTGCTCCAGCCATGGCTTCTGTTTCTGCCACTGCCGCTGCCACCGCCACTGCTGCTGGTCAATACTCCTGCTGTCACCCTCATTTGTACACTACCTAAAGAGACACACAACCACCGTGGCGGCCACTGTTACTCCACCTTTACACCCGCTGCTGGCTGTGGACCCTCGTTTCCTCCAGCTCCCTGTAGTGTATTACAGCCCCCCCGGCCAGTTCCAGTTTCTGTTCCAGTTTCCAGGTCCCCTCCCCAAGCTGGGTCTTTCCATCCACCTCTCCGACCAGCATCATCATCACTGTTGCCTCCAGTCCTAATTCCAGGCCCAGGCCCTAGCCACGCCTTTGCACACGCAGTACGGACTGCACACATAGCATACACATATATACTTACTTACATCCATACGGGTACAGCGCCTGGTATCCCGCACCAAATAACCCCCGGTCTTGATACCAGCACCAAGCACCAAGCACCAGCACCTCCCCGGCTGCTTCTTCCTCATCCTCCACTATCAGTCCCACGGCTGATACTTACACATACGCACTTTGCATCTACCACTCTCTTGTGCACACGTCCCTCCAGTTGTTGTTGTTGTTTGCTCCAGCCTTGATCACCTTCAGAGTGGTGCATCTCGTCACCCTCAGTCAGACCTGCGAAACCCACTTCTTCTTCCTCATAGACGTCCACATCCCCCCCTCCCTTGAAAAGTGGCGTTCCCCCACTACATGACCAGAGCTTTCGCATTCTTACAACGTGCCAGGCGACCAGCAGTCATCTCCCATACCGTCTTGCTGCAACCCCGAGCCGCACACTCCCTTTCAGCCAACTGCATCTCCCGTCGCTGTACGAGGATCAGCACCATCGGTACACACAGCAACATCCCAATCCGATCCGACCTCGCCAGTATACGGTATAGGCACACATCCTCCGACATGTCCAGCAGAGACCCCAATTCCGCCCGTCCTGGGGACCTGGATGGCCCCAACCGCGAGCCTAGACCTCAGCCCGTCGAGCGGGTGACGGATCAGCTCGAGACTCCTTCCCTCGACGACAGAACCTACCGTGTCATTCGATTGTCCAACAAGCTCGAAGCACTTTTGGTACATGACCCGGATACAGACAAGGCGAGCGCCGCTCTTGACGTCAATGTCGGCAACTTCAGCGATGAGGAGGACATGCCTGGAATGGCCCATGCCGTGGAACATGTACGATCCTGCGCCCAACAGAACTTTCCCGTTTTTCTACGTGTTTTCCTTTTGACTAACACCCGCTTGCGCAGCTCCTCTTCATGGGCACCAAGAAGTTCCCCATAGAGAACGAATACTCCCAGTACTTGGCCTCAAACTCAGGCAGCTCCAACGCCTATACGGGAGCAACCTCGACCAACTACTTTTTCGATGTCTCTGCGAAGCCTGCCAACGACCAGGAACCCTCTGCCTCGAACCCCTCGCCCTTTAGGGGAGCCCTCGACCGGTTCGCCCAGTTCTTTATTGAGCCGCTGTTCCTCGAATCGACCTTGGACCGAGAACTGCGCGCGGTGGACTCTGAGAACAAAAAGAATCTGCAGAACGACCAATGGCGACTGCATCAGCTGGAAAAGTCCCTCTCCAACCCGAAGCACCCCTTCTGCCACTTCTCAACCGGCAATCTTGAGGTTCTCAAGGCTCTACCAGAGGCTAAGGGCATCAATGTGCGGGCTAAGTTCATGGAGTTCCACGAGAAACACTATTCAGCAAACAGGATGAAGCTGGTTGTGCTTGGGCGTGAGCCTTTGGACGTTCTGGAAGACTGGGTTACTGAGTTCTTCTCTGGCGTTCCTAATAAAAACCTTGTGCCGAATCGTTGGGAAGACGAAGTGCCTTTCCGCGAGAGCGAGCTCGGTATGCAGGTGTTTGCCAAGCCAGTCATGGACTCACGAGAACTGAACCTATTTTTCCCCTTCCTTGATGAGGAGAAGATGTACGAGTCTCAGCCTAGCCGATACGTGAGCCATTTGATCGGCCATGAGGGCCCCGGCAGCATAATGGCCTATGTCAAGGAGAAGGGCTGGGCTAACGGACTGAGCGCCGGCGCATACCCTGTCTGCCCGGGCACCCCTGGCATTTTTGACTGTCAAATCCGCCTGACGGAGGAGGTGAGTCTGATCGATGCTGTTTTAACTTGGAGTCAATCTAATCTCTGTCACAGGGTCTCAAGAACTACAAGGAAATCGTCAAGGTCTTCTTCCAATACGTCTCCCTCCTTCGAGAATCACCTCCACAAGAATGGATCTTTGATGAACAGAAGGGCATGGCAGATGTGGACTTCAAATTCAAGCAAAAGACTCCAGCAAGTAGATTCACAAGCAAGATCAGTTCCGTCATGCAGAAGCCTTTGCCTCGGGAGTGGTTGCTCAGCGGATATAGTCGGCTGAGGAAGTTTGATTCCCAATTGATCGAAAAGGGCCTGGAATGCTTGAGACCAGACAACTTCCGCATGACCATTATATCACAAAAGTTCCCTGGTGACTGGAACCAGAAGGAAAAGTGGTACGGCACCGAATATCGCCATGAGAAGATTCCCGAAGAGTTCATGGCGGAGATCAAGAAGGCGGCTGCAAGCCCCGCTTCGGCACGCCTAACCGAGCTTCACCTCCCTCACAAGAACAACTTCATTCCCACCAAGCTTGAGGTTGAGAAGAAGGAGGTCAAGGAGCCGGCGCTGTCACCGCGTGTCGTCCGAAATGACAGTCTCGCTCGGACGTGGTTCAAGAAAGATGACACATTTTGGGTGCCCAAGGCCAACCTCGTTATCAGCTGCCGGAACCCTAACATCTACTCGACCGCAGAAAACGCTGTCAAGGCCAGGCTGTTCACCGACCTTGTTAGAGACGCTCTGGAGGCATACTCTTATGATGCGGAGCTCGCTGGTCTGCAATACAGTGTCACTCTTGATGCCCGTGGGCTGTTCCTAGATCTTAGTGGATACAACGACAAGTTGGCAGTCCTCCTGGAGCAGGTTTTGATAACGATGAGAGACCTTAAGATCAAGGACGAAAGATTCGAAATCATTAAGGAGCGTCTCAATCGGGGTTACAACAACTGGGAGCTTCAGCAACCGTTCAGCCAAGTTTCTGATTACACGACTTGGCTGAACTCGGAGCGCGGCTACGTCGTGGAAGAGTCTTTGGCTGAGTTGCCCAACATCACTGCCGAGGACGTTCGCCAGTTCAAGAAGCAGATGCTTTCACAGATGCACATCGAGACCTATGTGCACGGAAATCTCTACAAGGAAGATGCCCTGAAGCTGACCGATATGATCGAGACTATTCTGAAGCCCCGTGTTCTACCGCGACCTCAATGGCCCGTCATTCGATCGTTGATTGTCCCTCCTGGTTCTAACTACGTCTACAAGAAGACACTAAAGGACCCCGCAAACGTGAACCACTGCATTGAGGTTTGGCTTTACGTTGGCGACAAGGGTGACCGTCTGGTTCGCGCCAAGACCATGCTGCTCGACCAGATGTCTCATGAGCCAGCCTTCGACCAACTTCGAACCAAGGAGCAGCTCGGATATGTTGTTTTCAGTGGAGTAAGAAGCTTTACCACCACGTACGGCTTCCGATTTATCATTCAGAGTGAGCGCACACCTGAATACTTGGAGTCAAGAATCGAAGCCTTCCTCAACTTGTTCTCGAACAACTTGGATTCGATGTCGGAATCCGATTTTGAGGGCCACAAGCGTAGCTTGATTGTCAGACGCCTTGAGAAGCTCAAGAATCTGGATCAGGAGAGTAGCAGACACTGGGCCCAGATTGCCAGCGAGTACTATGACTTCGAGCTGGGTAAGTAAACACACGTGGACTCCTTGGAGTGATATGCTGACAGTTCATTCTATAGCTCAACAAGACGCCGCGCACATCAAGTCGCTCACGAAAGCGGACATGGTGGAGTTCTTCCAACAGTACATCAAGCCAGGCTCGCCGACACGAGCGAAACTTTCGGTGCATCTGCATGCGCAGGCAGGAAAGTCGGCCGAGGCGGACGCCAAGGTCAATGGAGTTAAGGAGGAGGAGACCAAGGCGACTGGTCCGGAGCCCGTCCTCATCACAGATGTGCGCAGCTTCCGAGCGGGACTGCAGGCGACACAAGGTGCCCGATCAACCAAGGATTTGAGCGAGTATGAAGATACGGACGCGAAGCTATGATGGAGAGTTGGACCAGAGGGGTTCAATAGATTTGCAAACAGGAGGCGTTGAGACTTGGGGTGTTTTTTAAAGAGACATTTTCTAGAATGACAACGGACTCAGAGCCACATGCGTTGTCTTGATGTCAAAATGGGAAAGGACGGACCCTGAAACAGCTGTTTGGCTCGAGCCTTGGTGTATTACAAACATGCATTGTTGGAATAGGGGAGACATGATGTTACGAGGCTTCACGACAGGATCGGGATAGACGCCTAATAGCTGAGGAGCCCACCGTTTCGTCTACGGCAACAACCGCGATGACGGGTTAGACGGCAAGACTACCTAGGACTAGGTAGGTAGAGAAGCGCAGGATAGAAAAGTGCAAGTTATATGCTTTTACGAGGAATAGAATGCGAAACTATCTGTTCTTTCTGACAGGTTGTCGCGTGAGAGGCGAAGTCCGACACGAGTCAGAATTGGATGGCATGTGGCAAATGAGTAGTTGCGCGTCGAATTGAATGCCAACGCCAAAAGGGTAAGTTTCAGGGAGAGAGGGTTGAACAAAGATTTTGAGGTTCACTTGGCGTCATAACTTTAATTGGATTCTGGGTGGCATAGGAGAGGCTCTAGATAACGTAAATGTGCCCCTATCAGGATGTTTACTCATTCTCTTTTTCAACAGCTAGAATTCTGTTATAAAAAAAAGTTCCCGACAAGAAGAGCAGGGGGTGAAGAAAAGACTGACGTCAGGCAAAGCCGACGCAATGAAGATGGGACTGTGTGGGTGGGTGGGTGGTACGAGGGAAGTGGGGCCGCGGGGAGGACGCTTTGACGACGGAATTTTTACGTATATTTTTTTCTTTCTTTCTTTCTTTTTTGGTAGTCTCGGAATGCTCAGACTGGCGGGCACAGGGTGTGGAAGTTGCCAAACGCAGAGACATTGGGTAGCCCGATAAAGCGGGATCGACGCGTCTCAGTGGCTGGATAGGTCGAAGTTCTGGAAGGATCATAGTAGATGCAAGAACAGGGTGCAGAGAAGTTGCGAGAATCAGGCACTTCAGGGATTGAATCTCTCTGTTGGATTTTGGTCTATTATGGTACCCGATTCCCGGAAGTTTCAACGAAGCACACACACATGACCTGGCTCTGGCTTCTACTATGTGTATGTACATAGCATAGTACGGAGTATGTGTGTAAAAGTGCACACATCAACATCAAGTGAAGTTGCCCACTAGGGCATTTAGCAGTGACCTCTCAGGGCTGCACCTGGCTTTCACATCCGGGATTTTCCCAGCGCTGGGATTGGAGGTGCTCGAGGCCTAGGAGAAAATCCCTCCTTTTCCCCGCCATGCCCGCTCCTAATACCACACTCTTTGCCCCCAAAAAATCAACTTTGGCAAACAATAAGTGCTGAGGAGCCTAAACGGGCAGCTACGATTCGCGAGCAGCAATCGTTTTTTCCCCTCTTGGTGGGGGGGGATGAACTGCTGCGGAGCAAGTACGAAATCTCAATCGATAACCGATACATGTACCTTCCCTGAAATAGTCTACTATTTTTTTTTCTTCATCTTTGAAATTTTTTCTCATCTCTTACCTTATCCCGCATATGTTGACCGTCACTTCTCTATTGAATTTTTTTTGTCAAATGTGGAGAAGTGGAATGAATACCAATTCGAGATTTTGTGTCCGTCCTGTATGTAGGCTGGGTTTAACAGTGATACTTGACTTCGCCTGAGTTTCTGTCCCCGTAATTCAAATGGCTTTGCACATATAGAATCATCTTTGATGACATTAGGCATTTTTATTTTTATCTCTATTTTTCTTACTAACCCTGCCACTAGTACAAGAGGGGAGGAAAACAAGTAAAAGAGAAAGAGAAAGAGAAAGTGAGAAATACGTACTTTCTGCTACGTACAGCCTCCTTCGCGCCCACGCTCTCAAGGCACTTTACACAAGTCATTCACCCATCCATCCCATTTCTTAGTCAAGTCAGCCTGGACGGACCCGGGCACCGGAATTCTACTTCAGGGGCCCCGTGCAGAGAAACGCTGAGCAAAGAATTCGGCCTAAACTGCGTCAACCGCATCCGCATCCGCCATCCACTCAGTCTCCGCACTGAATTGATTGCACTACTCTCTTCTTCACTGCGCTGTACCCTTACCGCAAGGCACCACACCAAGGGCGGCACTTCCTGCTCCTACACCGTGTGTCTCCGCAGGCCAAGACAAGGCGGAAGAGAGGTCACAAAGCAGACGTGCGCACATCTGCATCTGATCTGTCCCAACTCAAACACGCACACTACCCATCCGTCATTTTTTTATACCCACCTTCCACGCCCTACTCACGACTTGGACCAGCTCCTGCCGTCTCCTTGTGGGATCCAATTCCATCAGGTCCTCCCGCTTTCTCTCCTCTGCCACCCCACAGCCCCGATGCCCAGTCCGCTTGGAGGTCCTCAGCTGTAGTCTTCCACCACCCCGTCGACTACTTTTTTTTTTTCTGTGCTCTGCCCTGGCCCGCCATTCAGAGGTGCTGCTTATCGACTGGCTGGCTGCACTACTAATGCAATACACCTTCTCCCACCTTCTATCCATACACCTAGACTTCCCCCGCCGCCATTCCGGAGCTGCAAAGGCAGCTCGCCTTCACCACGTCTTCCTCAAAGAAGAGAAAGCTCTCCCGCAACCAGTCCCGCGACGACGAAGTGCCTGACACTTCTTCCCCCGCCGACACCGTCCTCCCGTCGTGCGAGCCAAACGACGATCCGGCCTTCTCCTTCTCCGCCACTTCCACCGACGGCCGGTCGACCCCTACCTACCTTCGCGGCGACTCTATCCCGGCTTCAAGCCTGCCTGCGCACCTGCAAACCGGCTCCCTCGTCTCCGCCGACTACGCCTCTAGCACCGCTTCTTCACCCTGCGGTGTCGCCGACCTTTCCATCGACAGCGATCGCGGAGGGGACATTTCCGGTCCCGAGACTGGCACTGCGCTGACATCACATTCAGCCAGAAGCCGGTCTCCCTTCAACGTCTCCCGCCGGGCCATAATGACCAGTGATGCCAACCCGCACCAACGCTCTTCCTCGCCCTTAAAACGACGTGCTTCCAGCATGGACCCCGACGCCGACGTCAGTATGAAGGAGGATGTCGAGATGACTCCCGCCCAGTCCACCGAGGATGCCGAGGCTGCTGCGCCTTCCTCCAAGGCTCAGTTGCCCCGCGCCATGAGCGTCGACTTGCCCGAAAATGCTGCGAACGGAGAGTCTGGCGCGACCCAAGACAAAAGTATGAGTGTATCCCCCCAGCCGCCTGCGGGCCGTTGTATACTAAACAAACCCCCTTCGCAGACCTCCCGCCGCTGCCAGACCAAATCAAGACGATCCAGACCTTGCTCAAGGCTTTTAACGAGGAGCCTCCCAAAGCGGGTGACATCGCTTACATAGTATCGAGATCATGGGTGGAAAAGGCGCTGGCACTCGGGGGAGACCCCAAGTTTGCCAAGAAAGAAACCACGAACGAGCCGCTAGGACCTGTGGACAACTCAGATTTGATTCTTGAAGTTTTGCCGCAGCCCAATGGCGAAGATTTTGTGCGCATGAAGCCTGGCACTAGCATGGAGGAAGGCGAGCTCTTCCCAGAAGATGCGTGGACGCTCGTGTCGGAGTGGTATGGCGTGAAGAATGGACAAAAGCCCATCGTTCGTCGTGCTATCAACACGGCCCCAGACGCGGCAAGCCCTCCCAACATCGTCTTTGAGCTCAACCCGCCCTTCTTTACTATTCACAGGTTGTGGTCGCTGTCCAGTCCCTACCAGATCGATGACGATCTCAAAACAAAGCCCCCGCTGGTTCTCGCCCGAAGCGCCACTACGCCGTACAACCCCTTTTACAAGGAGCTGAAGGAGCTTACGCGCATTCCTCTAGACCGCAAGATGCGCGTATGGCAAGTCACGCAGAAACCAGTTGCGCAAGCGACGCAGGAGGCATCACCTCCATCCGCGCTCACACCACCCGACTCTCCTAACTTGGACAAGGATTCGACGGACCCTTGGCAACATCTGCTCGTAGAAGTGCCCAACTTCTTAAAGATTGAGTCTTCAGATCGGATCAAGGTTCCCGCCGTCGACAATACTGCCAACCCTAACTACAACGGCAACTCGCCGGTGTCTGTGTATGGCCTAACCCAAGATTTGACCCTCGTTCTCGACGAGGAAATTTCCAAAAACCAATGGGTATCCAACTACTTCAAGGGAGCTCGCAATGATAAGATCATTCCCTCGCGAGGGAGCGCCTCAAGCCTGGCTACCCAGAGCAAGAACAACAGTGGAAGGAGCAGCCCTGCTCCCGGGCCGGTGACCAGGGGCAGGACGCAGAAGAAGCCAGGAAGAGGCTTAGGCGCCGTTGGCTTACAGAACCTGGGAAACACTTGCTATATGAACTCGGCCCTCCAGTGTGTTCGCAGCGTTGAGGAGTTGACCAAGTACTTCCTGACCAACGAGTACGAGAAGGAGATCAACAAAGCCAATGCCCTCGGCTATAAGGGACAGGTGGCTATGGCATATGGCGGTCTTCTGAAGGAGATTTACGCGGATTCGCGCGGCGCAGTCAGCCCCCGTGACTTCAAGAACACTGTTGGCCGCGCTCGCAGTACCTTCCAAGGTTGGGGCCAACAAGATACACAAGAGTTTCTGGGTTTCCTCCTCGATGCCCTGCAGGAAGATCTTAGTCGCATCAAGAAGAAGCCGTACATAGAGAAGCCGGACTCCACTGATGAGATGATCGGAGACGAGGAGGCCATTCGTAAGATGGCAGAAGAGGTTTGGGATATCACCCGAAAGCGCGATGACTCGGTCATTGCAGACCTTTTCACCGGATTGTACAAGTCGACCTTGAAGTGCCCCGTCTGCGACAAGATTAGCATCACTTTCGATCCTTTCAACAACCTGACTTTGCCGCTTCCAGTGGAGGACATGTGGAGTAGAACGGTCAAATTCCTGCCACTCAACGACGCGCCGGTCCAGATTGAGATTGAACTTTCAAAGCACAGTGCTATTGAGCAGCTGAAGAAGGCCATCTCTGAAAAGACCGGTGTGCCCGTCGAGCTGTTGCTGGGAGCTGAAGAATTCAAGGGCAAGTTCTTCAAAATCTACGACGATAGCAACGACGTTTCGGATGAGATTCAGTCAAATGACATCCCTACCTTCCATGAGCTGGAGGCGGCACCGACCAACTACCCCCCCAAGGCCAAGAAGATGGGTGCCCCCAGCTCCATGCTGGATATCAGCGATGAGCCTTGGGTTGACCCGCGCACCGAGCGCATGGTTGTGACTGTCCTCCATCGTAAGCGTGGTGGCTCATCTTACCGCCTGAGAGGAGACGACGTGGTCTCACCTCCTCACTTCATTGTCCTCACTCCTGAAGAGGTAGGCACAATTAAGCGCGATTTGCTGGATTTGAACTAACAGGCTGTAGGCTCGCAATGAAGACGCTATCCGCCGTAAAGTCCTGGAAAAGGTCGCCACTTTTTCCACATGGTCTGAGTTCTCCGAGACTGACGACAGTACTGATGCCGACATGGTCATCACGTCCCAGTCGGATGCCGATTCGTCGGGAGACAGTAAGGTTGTTTCCCACTCGGTAGAGGGAGAAGATGACATTGTGGATGTATCCATGGTCGCAGGTGGTGACCAGGCTAGCCGACGAGCTCTGAAGCAGTTTAACACCAGCCGGCCCAAATGGGTCAACGCCAAAGCTTACCTTCCTCCCCAGCTTCAAAACCTGTTTGAGCTGAGCTACTTTCCCGAGAACGGAGACTCGCCGCTACCGACAGGTTGGAACTCGGTTGACGACAACAAGAACTTCCGCACTCTGGCTTCCAGAGCACCCGAAACTGTGACTGAGCAAGACTCCAACAGCCCCGACTCTACCAACAGTGCCGACAGCGAGCACGAGAGTGCCAGCGAGGAGCAATCTCCTCAGTCGGTTGAAGAACAGACTCGCATGGCAGAGGAGTCGGAGGAGGACGAGCCTGTCCGGCTTCCCAAGGTGAGCACACTTATGATGGGTGTTTCATGTACAAAATTTGAATCGGGATTTAACATGAAGCAGGCCGCCCGGGGCAGAGGCAACGCCAAGGTTGGCGGGGCTCGCCGTAAGTTCAACAAGGGTAACAAGACCTACGGAAAGAAGGGCAACAAGCGGCGCAACAAGGAAATGCGGAACAGCAAAGAACAGTCATACCATGTCGTCGACGTTGCTCCCCAGCCGTCGCCTCTGGACGACGTTCCTGGTGGCCCGCTTGTCCGTCTCGGTGAGGGCATCATCGTCGACTGGACTGAGGAGTCCTGGGACATGGTCTTCGGCAAGGATTCCCGTGATGAGGAAGACACGCGGGGCCAGAAGACCTTTGTCGATCCCGAGAAACTCAGGGACCCTGTTCTGGAGCAGAAGCGGAAGGCGCGCATGACACGCAAGAAGCAAGGTATCACCCTCGACGAGTGTTTAGACGAGTTCGAGAAGGCCGAGGTGTTGTCCGAGCAGGACATGTGGTATTGCCCACGCTGCAAGGAACACCGACGAGCCAGCAAGAAGTTTGATCTTTGGAAGACGCCGGACATTCTCGTTGTCCATCTGAAGAGATTTAGCAATGCTGGTTGGCGACGTGACAAGCTCGATGTTCTAGTTGACTTCCCCATCGAAGGCCTCGACCTCCACAAGCGCGTCCTCTGCCAGGAGACCGGTAAGGAAGAGATTTACGATCTTATTGCCGTCGACGATCACTTCGGTGGCCTCGGTGGTGGTCATTACACAGCCTACGGCAGAAACTTCATTGACGGACACTGGTACAATTACAATGGTACGTACAGATCCCGAAAAAAATTCTTATTGATACTTGCTTACCAGAAGCAGACACTTCGGTCAGTAAGACCACGCCAGAGAGCGTAGTGACCCGGGCAGCCTACCTGCTCTTCTACCGCCGTCGATCCGACGGCCCCTTGGGCGGTCCTCGCTTCAAGGAAATCTTTGACAAGTTCGACAAGGGCGGCGAAGATGACGAGGAAGAGGACACCGATTCGGGGGAAGATCAACGTCTCGTCGGGGGCTCCTCCCTAACTGGATCGTCGAGACTTGGGACCGGAGCCGAAGCAACTCTCCCGCGCGGAAATCGTGGTTTGGCTAGTAGCACAATGTCCACAGCAAACCGCGGCGCAGAGGACGAGCTCCCGCCTTACGATGGCAGTTCGAGCACGAACGTTGGCAGTGAGAATATCCAGAACAGCATCGAAGATGAAGGGATCGGTATGGCTGACAACATGACTGGATCAACCGGATTTCAGGCAGCACAGAATTGGAACTGGAACTCCCTGAGCTCCAATGAAGGACCAACCAATTCCCTCGGGATGGAGGGCTACGCTAGCGACGACGCCCAGCCCGACTCCTCCGATGAGAGAGACATTTCTGGCAACGACACGGACGTGCAATTCGATGACACCATGGGTGACTACGGTGACGCGATACACGAGGAAGCCGCACCGCCGCCGCCGGACTTTGGCGCCCAGGTCAGCCTCTCGGAGATCCAAAACGCTGCGTGGGAGCGACAGAACAAGGACAAGGTCATCTCCGTTCCGGCTGCCGATGACGATGTCGCTTCTACCGAAGCGGCTGAGATTCACCTCGACGACGAAGCGGACCCACGCCCGACTCGGTCTTAGTAGTCACCCACTGGCAATCGGCGTCGGGGGGTTTGGCGGCCTGTTTCTTGGGAGGAGACACGAGAATTCGAGAATTTTTGCGTAAGGAGCAACGGTTCTGAGTATTGTGAGAAAATGGCAAGACTTGGGTGCATGTTTCAGACGTTGGTATGCATACGAGTCCACGCATCGGAGGGCTGGTGGAAGGCATTACAAAAAAAAAGCAAAGAGGATACAATGAGGCGTAAATAGAGATAGACCCCTCATGCCCTGGCATACACGAGGCGACACTTGTCCTCGTTTTTTTTCTGTTTTTTTTTTTTTTTTGTCGGAGTCTAGGTTGCATGAGGCCATGCATGTATGACTTTTTGAGTATTACGGTTCGCTATCAATAGCATACAGCAGATTCGTAACAGTCTGTCCCGTTGATTGTATTTTTCTGAGATCTGTATCATGTTGTCCAAGAGCCCAATGTCATGTGTGACCATGCGAAAACAAGGCGACTTTCTCTAACCGTGAGCCATGGGGGCAATACGGGCTTGAATAGTTATTCCTCATTCTACAAGGAATAATCAGGGTTTAGATGCGAACTGCGGCAACGGGCGATTGGTTAAATAGGGCCAGCTACAAAAGGTGTTGTTGGATGGTATCGTTGCTTCACGACTTTCCTTTTACGGAATAAAACGTCTGGCCCTTGATTCGGTCTACGAGGCTCTTTTTTTTTACGGTTTACATCGGTTTTATAAACTAACAAGAGGTTTCAAGGGCTGTTGTGTTTTGTTCAGAAACCAAGTTGATTTGCGTTTGCCGTTGACTTTGCGTAAAGCATTTTGTTTTTTTTTTCCTGTGTTAATGTACGCCGCTGGCAGACAGCCGTGGTATGGGGCTCAATCGTATTCTCTCTCTCTCTCTCTCTCTCTCTCTCTCTCTCTCTCTCTCTCTCTCTCTCTCTCTCTCTCTCTCTCTCTCTCTCTCTCTCTCTAAGGCCAAGTATGCTGTTGCTTCGCGGCAACGTAGACATCTTACTATATTGATACTTGTGTCGGCAGCTAAGAATCAAACTGCGTGATCTGTGGTCCAGGGCTAGAGGTTATTGTTTTATTGCCATCTTCTCGGTTGGTCAAAGTACATATCCACGAAACAATGAATTGCCCATCCACTTTCACCATGGTTCTCTCAAACCTAGCGGTTGACTGGTGTTGTTTTGGCTTCAAGTGTAGGATTCTCTTTGCCCTTAAAAATAATGTACATTGGTTGTGAGTTCATCTTGGGAAGTTGAACGATCAATTACGCATAAATGACGCCTGATATTATGAATGCCGCTGTACTCAGGTGGTTCCGTTGTTTAGTGGCCTGAACAGCAAAACCAATTACCATCTCGTCAGGCTACCGAGACTCGTCCAGGAGACGAAAGACGTTATTCTCAGCTGAAGTGCACAAAATGAATCTTGAAATGTTGTTCACTGCGCCAGGAAAGCACGTACATTGCGGCCGGAGGACTAACAAGACAAGACACCCAAGCAGGTTTACGAACAACCAGGTGGTTCTCTCAATTTTCTCCTTGGTAAACGCCTATTTTGTAGTTGCCATTATAAGCGTGTCCTATCCCCAGCCATTGTTTTTTGGTGCTGTTTGTCCACAAGAGGCAGAGTTTGATTTCTTTTAAAAGGGTCATTGTGCGAGCTTCATGTCGACCCGGTTCATTCTAGGCGTGATAAAAGTAGTTTGGGCTCACTTGTTCAAATCCTCGTACCTACTCTACTACGAGACCTCCCGAGAAGGTTACGAGTATGACCTGTCATGGCGGTTGTGGGAACTAAACTTGGTTACTACGAGGCGCTTGTCTCTTCACTGCCCGCTTTCCGTGCTGGTAAGGGAGCCTGCCGAATGAGTTACGGTCAAAATCCCAGCCCAACATGTTTGTCGGATACAAAATTGAGCGGATGCGTCTCAGCCCGGTAGGTCAACGTCCAGTTGGCGCCGACATAGGGGAGCGGTCACAAGGGCGTGTACGGGGCGGAGTGACTTGGAACGTTGACGAGTGTATAAAGGCCGTCTCTTCTGTTAAAATTGGCTGTTTTCGTTGTGGAAGCAAGACCATTTACTTTTCCACGACCACCATTCTAACAACTCTTTGCATCGGAAGGCTTAAAATCTCAAGGTTATGGACGCAAGTGTTACCGTTAATGTCAGTATGGTGCTCGAAAGAACTGATGTGAACTACGTCAAAACCAGGAAGATGGTATCTCAACAACTTGCAAACGTATCTTGTATGAGAACTATCGCGGTACAAATCTAGGGGAAAGAATACAGAATTAGGTCCTGGGCTTCTGTTGATATCGTACTATTTGCAGGTCTCTCTACACGTTGCACCGTTACCTAACCACCACACCCCAATCATATAGCCAAGGCACAAGTCCAACCTGAAGAGTACCTGTCCTTCATCAACGTCTCTTCAAACATGACAGCTGGGAGAGATGCTCGACAACTAGCTGATCAAAACTATGTGGAAGGGTCGTGTCATTTCACAACTAGATTAACCGGCGCAGGGGCATCGATTAGGGACCAAGTGACCCTTCATGAACAAAAAGGATGCCAAACTGGCAAAAGAGAATCTCCTCGACGGGGAATTGAACCCCGGTCCCCGGCGAATCGTATGAATGACAAGCCGATATCCTCACCACTAGACTATCGAGGATTGATAGATGTTGTTATTTGATGACTGAGATCGAAGCGAAGGTGGATATGAAGCTCGTGATACCCACTTAGGTCACGAAGCCTAGGGTTTCCTAAAGAGTAGAGTGGTCGGGGACAACTAGAGACTTTGGAACTTTCAAGTAGTTTGAACGGGAAATTGATAATGTACTACTAACCCGTCCGTTCGCGAGCTCAAATCGAGTTGCAAAAATTCATAAGACTCTCACAACATGCGCCATCAACGCCCCTTTCCCAACCCAAGCCTCCTAGTCATGGCAGAAGAGGTGTCTGATGCCCGCATGGCCCAATTCTCCCTAGGCAAATTGCAGCAGTTCTTCTCAAATGGTTACAAGTCAAAGTGGGAGTCAAGGACGGACGGACGGCGCCTTGATAACTAACTCCTTCTGACATCTGTTCCTAAACTTCGTCCAGATCACACGAGACTCGGCCTAGTTGGCTGAAAGACAGCTGTCAAAACGCGATAGTTTCTCAGCAGCGAACGAGAATCTGGTAGTTAAATGAGTCAGTAATTGCGATTCGTCAGCTGAGGGTTTTGCCTTGAGGCATGTCTTCCACCGCAACCCCAGTCACCAAGCTTATGCGCAACTATGCCGCAAGAATCGACGACGATCATCTCGCACACGGTGGTTCGGGATTCATGCTATATCGGACAGTCGAGGCCAGCAAAAAAGTCCTCTTCGCCGACTCCGGATGCCTTACCTGACATGCGCCCGGCAGCTGAAGATTGCTTGGGTGGACCGCTGGCAAAAAAAAGAATTCGCAAGTTTCACTCCAAGCTGTCAAACCGTCGCAACCCACGGGTTCAGTCACAGATAAAGAGCAATCCAAGTGGATATCCTAACCAACCAGCCCCGCCATCCACACAACAGGAGCTTCGTCCGGGGTAAATGAACCCTCGTGAAAAGCCTAAAGGGAAGCATAACCAAATCCTCGGTTCCAGCAATCCGACTTTTTTTTTTTTCATTTATTTACCAGGCGCTTTAAATTCGCCAGCCCAAGGAACCCCGACATTACGAACCAAAACCACACAGCCATTCCCGGCCCGTACCTAACCCCCCCCCCCCCCCCCCCCCCCCCCATCCTTTCCAGCGTTCATGAACACATCCGATAGTAGGCAGAAAATGAACCTCTGGAGCGCGTATCCCAGACGAGATATGGTCTGACCCCTGAAGCAAAGACCTTCTCGGGATCTACGCCGAGAAAATCTCTTCCTCCCATCTCAAACGAACGCGTCCCAAAACCCAGGGGGGGTGAAGGATGAGCGAACGTAGTCGGGTTTTTTTCCTTCTTCATTCCCCCCCTCCCTAACATTCTAGAGCGGGCTTCACATTGTTTGAACTGTTCTTAGGGCGTAACAAAACTTTTGAGATGAAGAAGAAGGAGGGGGGAGAACATGAGACAATCAACTCCTGCACTGCGACCAGTAGAGGTCGTAGACCCGATATGCAAGCCTCGCAGCTGCGACGCTCGAGCTTTTTCCTTTCATGTAGTTCTTCTGTATGAATGCATGGGGAAGCCGAACGAATGAGAAAGGGA